TCAGCTGTTTAACGTGTATATAAAGACGGGAACAGAGCGAGACGTGTCACACTTCTCTGTCTGAACAGCGATATTTCAGAATGAGGAAAGCTGCAGTTTTGCTGCTCTGTCTGCTCTGGACGGGGGCTCAGGGTGAGGATGGAGGTAAGCTATCTGATTTAAAGTGAACTCTTTAGTGTGGTAGAAAACAGGTGTCAAACTTTCTAATATGTGATGACAGAAACTGAAATAAACTGAGGATGAAAACTATATTTTACTGTAAAGATTTTAAACTTGTTCAGCTCTAGAGAACAGGATGAGCTCCAGTGAAAAGCAGGTGGTGGAGTTCCAGACACATAACTCAGGTAAGAAACATAAACTATTATGAAGAGTCAAAGTATTGAATAAGAATAGAACTGGTATACTGATATACCAGCAAATATCAAACTCTGCTGCATCCTCCTCTTTCTCACAGCCGGTCCTCAGGTGGCGTTCTCAGTCGGTCTCAGTGATGCAGGAGTAGTCGGCCCCTTCGGCACTAACAGTATACTGAAGTACAGTAAAGTCTTCACCAATATCGGCCTGGCCTACAGCTCAACTACAGGTACTGAGCACACACACACACACACACACACACACACACACACACACACACACACACACACACACGCTAACATTCATTTACAGTAGATATGTGACTGTAAGCTTTCTTAAGAGTGTTCTTAATGAAACCATTACCTTCTCCTGTGATGCAGGTATCTTCACAGCCCCCGTCAAAGGAGTCTACTACTTCAGCTTCAACATGTGGGGAAGCCGCTTTGTATCAGATACCGCTCTTGAATTCGCTCTCAACAACGTGATGAAGATGAGACTTCAAGATTACAATGATGCCTATGGCTATGTCTCTGCGGCTAACTCAATGGTTCTTCAGCTGGAGAAGGGAGATGTTGCCAACATCGTTCTGCCCTCCAGCTACAGCGTTTATGATGATTTGTTTAATCGCATGGTTTTCAGTGGATTTCTACTCTTTCCTCTGTGAAGCCCACTGTAAAACACCCACTGCATTAAGTTTCAACATTACATATTAATAAATAAGTGTGTTGACTCAATTTATATAGTTGTTTGTGTTTATTTTTGCTTGGTTACATGAACAAGAGGCATTCATTACCATAACAACGTTTTCTACGGACAATATAAGACAAACACTTTAGCAGTACTGTTGTTGTCCAAACCCCCTAAACCGAGACCAAGTCAAGACCAAAGAGCCCTCTACAGTCTGTGCCCTGACTACAGAAGTGAGACCCACACTGCATGACACAGATATGAAAAATATTTCATACACTTCTCAAAAGGATCTGTCATATCCACAATCCCAGAAAAACTCAAATGTCTTCATTCACCTGGTTGCTTGCCATATATACTTACAGTATATGTTTGTGTATGAATGTTATATGAGAAATTTAAAGCAGAATTGACTTTTATGTCCGGGAATCTTCCTTTATTTTATGATCTCTTTGTCAGAGACAGAAACTCATCAAAATAAGGTTGATTCTGAGACCAGGGCTGAAGTCGAATAGTCCATTTAGCTTAGGAACCTTCCTAACGGAGTGAAATGACCCGGAAGTCCCTCAGTGGCAGCCATGATAAGAGCCGTTTGAATTCTCTACATTATAGGAAAGGAGGTTTCAAACTTCCTTTATAACCTCCTTTAGCTTAGAAACCACTGGACCTCCCTTACCGAAAGGAGAGGAGAAAATGCTGCCCCACAATGCCTTGCAGCCGCGGCATTTGCCGTCACACAACAGTCGGCCGTTCACGGAAACAACCGATTATGACTGAGAAATGATATCATGAAAGTTACGGTGCTTATTAAGCTTTTTAAAACGTATGTGGTAAGTTGCCAAAGTGCTTTGTTTTGAACGTGCATCAGTATTATAATCAAAAAGAGAAATATGAACGTTAGTTTTTACTGAAATGATCAAATAAAGTCAACATTTCACAGTCTTTACTGAGCTGTGTGGGGTTTGTTCAACTTTTAAAAGATGTTTGAATGGTGATATACACAGTGATAGATGTTAAGGACTGACGTTTATAATAAATACATTTGTATTGATTTTAAGATATTTTCATAGTTCATACAATCTTTGGGATCATTTGTATTAATGTGGACCGGAGGGAGAGGGGGACGAGCAGAAGTTTCACTTTCCTTTTTTATTTCAATTCCAACTTTGGTCATGAAGAAAATGTTTCTCTGTTGTCCACGTTCATAAAGCATAAAGCAACAGCATCAGAGCACGGTGCAGAGTCTCTAGATGAGTTTACAGTAGTCCCTGGTTCTTCTTAAACATCCATGTTGTAGTCCGTTGTATAGAAAACTGTAGTTTCCATAGTTTCCCCACAGCAGCAGACGCATGACGTCCGCTGGCGCATCATAAACACGTCGGATAGTGAAAGTGCAGTCGGATTCTCTAAAGTACATTAAGTCCTTTTGAATTCTCCTACTATCCCTTAACCCCGTGACGTTTCACTCAGAGGTCAACATTACATTACAATACATTGCATTTAGCTGATGCTTTTATCCAAAGCGACTTACAATAAGTTCATTCGACCAACAAAATACAACCTTGAAGAAAACAGAATCATATAAGTACATCAGGCTTCATAGAGCAAAAACATTTCAAGTGCTACTCAACTGGCTTTAGATAAGCCAGCCCTTTATTAGTATATAAGAGCTTCGTTAATAGTTCTATCGCTCGAAGTGGAGTCGAAAGAGATGAGTTTTCAGTCTGCGCCGGAAGGTGTGTAAGCTATCTGCTGTCCTGATGTCAATGGGGAGCTCATTCCACCATTTAGGAGCCAGGATAGCAAACCCACGTGTTTTTGCTGATGGGAACTTGGGTCCCCTTCGCAGCGAGGGTGCAGCGAGCCGTTTGGTTGATGCAGAGCGGAGTGCACGTGCTGGGGTGTACGGTTTAACCATGTCCTGGATGTAGGAAGGGCCAGATCCATTCGCAGCATAGTACGCAAGTACCATTGTCTTGAAGTGGATTCTAGCAGTTATCGGAAGCCAGTGAAGGCAGCGGAGGAGCGGCGTGGTGTGGGAGAATTTAGGAAGGTTGAAGACCAGGCGAGCAGCTGCATTCTGGATGAGCTGCAGAGGTCGGATGGCACATGCAGGTAGACCAGCCAGGAGGGAGTTGCAGTAGTCTAGGCGTGAGATGACGAGAGCCTGGACCAGAACCTGCGTCGCTTTCTGGGTCAGCTGGGGACGCATCCTCCTGATGTTGTAAAGCGTGTATCTGCAGCAACGGGTTGTAGCAGCGATGTTTGCAGTGAAGGACAGGTTGTTATCTAGGGTCACACCCAGATTCCTTGCAGTCTGAGTCGGGGAAACAACAGAGGTGCCGATGTTGATTGTTAGGTCAAGAGTGGGACAATCTTTTCCCGGAAGGAAAAGCAGCTCAGTCTTGTCAAGGTTGAGCTTGAGGTGGTGAGCAGACATCCACTGAGAGATGTCAGCTAGACAAGCAGAGATGCGTGCAACGACCTGGGTCTCTGAGCGGGGAAAGGACAGAATTAATTGGGTGTCGTCAGCGTAGCAGTGGTATGAAAAACCATGCGGGCTAATGACTGATCCGAGCGAGTTTGTGTACAAGGAGAAGAGGAGGGGACCAAGAACAGAGCCCTGAGGGACCCCTGTAGGTAATTGACAAGGGTCGGACTCGGACCCTCTCCAAGTAACCCTGTAGGTGCGGTCTTTGAGGTATGAGGTGAGGAGGGAAAGTGCAGAGCCTGAAACTCCAAGTGCTTGGAGAGTGCGAAGGAGGATCTGATGATTCACCGTGTCGAATGCAGCAGACAGGTCCAACAGGATGATGACAGAGGAGAGGGAGGCTGCTTTAGCAGTGTGCAGTTCCTCAGTGACAGCAAGGAGGGCAGTTTCTGTGGAGTGACCTGCCTTGAAACCAGACTGGTGCGGATCCAGAAGGTTGTTCTGATGGAGATAGCAGGAGAGTTGTCTAAAGACAGCACGTTAAAGTGTTTTAGACAGGAACAGATATTTTCATCAATCATACGTATTGGGATCATTTGTATTAATGTGGACCGGAGGGAGAGGGTGACGAGCATAAGTTTCACTTTCCTTTTTTATTTCAATTCCAACTTTGATCATGAAGAATTTATGTTTCTCTGTTGTCCACATTCATAAAGCATAAAGCAACAGCATCAGAGCACGGTGCAGAGTCTCTAGATGAGTTTACAGTAGTCCCTCGTTCTTATTAAACATCCATGTAGTCCGCTCACTCCGCTGTATAGAAAACTGTAGTTCATGACGTCTACTGGCGAATCATAAACACGTTGGATAGTGAAAGTGCAGTCGGATTCTCAAAGCACCGCAGTCTCTTTCCTAAGTCCTTTTGAATTCTTCTATCCACTATCCCTTAACCCCGTGACGTTTCACACAAAGGTTAAGGAATAGACGATAGGAGCTGATTTTTGGACTATTCGACTTCAGCCATGGTCTTCAGGACTTTTTAATAAACTTTAAACTAATTTTATTTTTGGGAAAATGTCACATTCACAAGAACTGGACTGAGTTTTAATGCAGCACTATTACATACATATTAAAAATAAAAAGGCAATACAAACCAAGTGTGTATTTGATCAATATTTTACTTGAAATTAAACCTGTTTTATTTCCTTACTTTATTATATTTGTTTAACTCTGTATATGTACCCCTGATGTCAATATGTTGTGTTTTTATAATTTTAGATACCTAGCATTTGGAAACTAACATCCATAGTATTCCCTTAAACTTATATACTCTCAAATAAAAAAATTAAGCACATTTTTGCGAAAAAAGCCCTCAACTATTTTCACATGCTACTTCCATAAAGACTCCACTCAATGTCCCTGAAATTAATGAGATGCGCCAAATATCTCTATACTGTATATAACTAGAAATGATTTGACAAATTGAATGTATTTTTCTCAAGCAACCTGTTTTATTTATATATTTATTTATATATTTATTTATATATATTGGTTTATTATTTTTGACATTTGAATAAAAACAAGTATAAAAATAGCTCTTAAGTTATTCTATATCTAGTTAGACAAGAATTACTTGCTTGTCAAAATGCTTTTAAAAACAGATATAGGCAAATGTGATGCATTAAATAAAATACATGCTTACACATACAGTTGTTAATCTTAACAGAACAGAAAATACAGACCTTGTAGATCTTGTTGTCTTGTAATACTTGCAGATTTTCAGCCACATCTCCATCACTTATTGATCTGGCTCTACACTTCCAGGCTCCTCGTGGACCAGCACCTCCACCACCATCTCAGTCTGTGGGGCCTGAGTTGTATCATTGATTACTGTCCATGGCTCACTTTGCTTCTCCAGAACATCTTCGGTCCAAACCCTGATGATACATGCATCATCTGGGCGGGACGGGTAGTTCTGTGTCTTTAAATAAGTCTGGAGCTCTTGGTCTTTTGGGTTTTCTCCGGCTCTTGTTCCTGGTTGTTGTGAATTATCCAATCCCACAACAACGTCAGAGAAGGGACAGCCTCCCCTTTGGTTTCTCTGCTGCAGAAACGGCATGTCCTTCAGTTCAAGCTCGGACCTGGTGATGCAGAATCAGGCAAAAAAGAAACTTGTCAATTATCATCATTTTGTAATTGGTGATTTTTAAATTGTGCTTAGAAATGTGTGTTACCTGAGCAGGTGAGATGCAGGTAGGGTTTCTTCTTGTGTTCTTACAAAGTCCTGTAATAGAATCACACAGCATCAGCGTCACAGAATAAACCATTGTGATAAAGTATGTATATGTTTGTAATGCTCTGTAAGCATGTGTCCTATTCCTTGAAGTCGGACTCACCTGTGCGTGCATGTTGATCCGCTTTGTGTGTGAGAGGGCAGGACTGTCCTTTCGGTAGCGATGAGCTTTGGAGGGCAGAGTTTGGTGCAGACTGTTGGAGAGGGCGCTCAGTCTGAACAAAAGCTCATCTAATAAGCTTTCAAACTCCTCAAAGTAATACGTCTGCAAAAAGTGGTGAGATATATTAGGTTTGAGGATGTATGGTATGAGGCAACAATTGAATTCCCCACAGGGATCAATACAGGTTTATCTTATCGGATATTATTTATTGGAGATATAGTCTTCATTTTAAGAGACACCTGCAGAAGCATTGCCAGTAACATTAGATCATAAACCTGACCTCCAATGTTCACACCAAGGTAATTTGACTATAATACAAATGTTACACATCCTTTATTACAGTCTGTAAAATGGATCTCAGTTTTATTGTTTTTATTGACTCTTTCCCCACCTTTCCCTCCACACGATGTTCAGTCCATGCTTGTCTTCGCTGGCAGGTGACCTCAGAGATCTTCCTCCTGATGTAGCGGGATAATTCTGCCATGGTCAGCACATTCCCCCTGCCTCCAGATCTTTTGGCTCTTCTGACTAATGAGGACATCACCCCTATCACCTGTTAAAACCCAGCAGTGATATAGACTCTGACAAATATCACTGAGTGAGTCATCTCTCATCCAACACATTGTTAAGGTAAAGAAAAGATAAGATATATTAATATTTTACATTTTAGATCAGTTTTTTTTTCTATTTTGAGATGTTTCTATTTTAAGTTAGTTTATTTTCTACTCAATACTTTGTTTTAACATGCTGCTGTAATGGGAAAAAAATCCAATTTGGGTTCAATAAAGTATATCTTAACTTATCTTGTGTTTTTGATCTAAATTTGGGATTTTTTTCAACACGGTATATAGATAGATTTAAGCAATAGCTCATGACATAGGGGTTAGGGTAGGGGGTTGTCGACCCTCCGCTTCGCGTCGGGCCGAACCACGCCCCTTAACTGTGATATAATGACCATATACCACGGCCTGAAGTGAGCTATTGATTTTATAAAACGGTTACCAAGTGTGGCAATATGAAAGAAAAATACACACTCTAACTTAAATAGTTTTTTATTAGTAAATAATGATGTTTAAAATAAAATAGTCCCTCCGTTGCTTTCTGCACAAAACATAGAGCGAGGTGGTTGCTATGCAACAACACTAACAGCTAGCGAACATATTAGACAGAGAGCGAGGGCCAGGCCCTCCCATTTGACATTCCTGCCCTCCCCCAATAAACACGTTTTTTATTATTTATACAAATTAAAAAATATATATATTTAATTTGTTTTAATTATAAATAAACTGTGAACTTTTATGCTACGATGTATGTGATGTCAGAACAAAACAAAAAAATCGCAGGCTACGTCAAATAAATGCATGTGTCTGTTGTGATTTGTGATTCGTCCCGTCAGACTCTGCCGCCTATTCTGGATTTGTTTATTGTGCATTCTGTAGACTCCCATTTCTGTTTGAATTACAAAATGGACATAAAAAATTGGCTTAAAAGGTCTAAGGATTTATTAAAAGGAAATAGCGATGAAAGAACTGCAGCCGATGGTGCTGCTGGCGACCCTGCACCTGCCGTTGCAGCAGCACGCCTTAATGTCACAAGCTTGACCTCGGCAAACCCCGGGACTGAGTTAGCGATGATCTTGTGGTTAATAAACCCAACCAGGTGAAACTGGATCGTTATCCAGGGAGATTGTTTTCAGGAAAGATGCGCACTTTTGCCGCTGCATGGTACAACAGACCATGGCTTGAATATTCGTTAAAAGCAGACGCAGCCTTTTGTTTCCCCTGTAGACAGTTTAAAGTAAATACGTCTTCATCTGATGCGGCTTTTACTGTCAATGGTTTTTGCGACTGGAAACACGCATTACAGACTGATAAAGGACTGTTAAGACATGCCGCATCAAAAGAACACATTTCATGTGAGAGTTTGTGGAGAGAGAGACAGATACGAGAGGAAACACATAAGGAAATTAGAACTTTGGTTCAGATCAGCTGCACGGAGCCGTTATTACGTGTCAGCTGTCGTTGATATTATAGCTTTTTTAGCTGTCAACCAACTCCCTCTCAGAGGTGACTCGATTCACTCCACAGCATGTCCGAGTCAGGCAGTGCATAGAACATAAACCATGCCCAAGGCGGGCTAAACAGTTCATCGTCTCCGTCTCTACTATTTCTCTCCGAGTGCAGCGATGAGGAAGCTGCCATCCGTAACCAGTGTGCCTTGCTCGTGATTTACCAGTGTCTGTGCTGCCACGCACACCATGTTTCAAAGTGGTTGCTATGTTGCCCTTTATTTGTGTATGTTTGCGATAAGTGTGCGTCTTTACGCAATGCTGTTGGCCTTGCTGTTTGATATATATTGTGCCGCAGGCCCGCAGCACGTGACGGTTTTGTGTGCCCTCCCATGAAAATCATATGCCCTCCCTTTAGATTTGTTCTGGCGCCGGGTCTGCTCCGGTCCCCGAGATTCGGCTTCCAGTAGCTCTGGAGAGACCTGTGGTCATAATTTCTCTGCTTTGTTTTGTTAGAAATTAAAAATCAATATTTAATGATAAAACATGATTTTATAACTGTTTTATTGTGAAAATACTTCCGGTTAGCTTCCGCCTGTGGTTAAAGTTTATTTTGAAAAGCTATTCCGGAAAGGATCTCCGAAATACCAACAGTAGCTTGACTTCAGGCTTTATGGAAAACACGATTTACAGCCGTTAAACGGTATTAAATAAAAAGTCATGAAAGAGATAAGGAGGAGAAAAGGCGTGTGGAAGTAAGCAATGAATGTAAATGTCGAAATCCTCTGTTATGTGCGATATCGGGCATTGGTGAAAGGAGGGCGGAAGATTACGTCACAGCCCCAGAGAGGAGGAGCAAAGGGGGATGCAGGCAAGCGGGAAAGACGAATGTGTGTGGAGAATCTTCTGCACGGCGGCCACTGCAAGAAGAGGCTGCAGCCTTTCTCTCCTCACTACCTTCTGTTTGTTTTATTACCGCGCCATTTAATTAAAGTACCCATTTGAACCTTCTCAGAGTCTCATTGGTCTCCTTATTTTAAGTTTCTCTCCTGGACGCGAGGACAAGGAATATCCTAATAGTTTCAAGACCCGCATCAAAAAGTTTTGAATGGTGGTACTTTTCCAGTTGGTCTACCTACCTGTTCTTCACGTAGCTCTGCTCCTAACCCTAACCCTGTGAAAACTGAAAAGTAACTACAATTCTACCCGTGATATACGCTCATTATATCACGGCTAAAAACCAATCAGATTGCTTGATTTGACTTATCCGTTTTATAGAGAGAGATAGATAGATACTTGATCCCAATTTGGGATATATTTGCGTTGCAGCAGCATAAAAAACACAAAGGCAGAGAAATTAAGACACAAATAAACATAGTTGACTTTCTGTCATATATACACTATGAAGGGTCAATCAAAGGCTAACCAAATATTAAAGTAGGATGTTTTTAACATGGAGTGTTTAAGAAATAGCATATTCAACTAAATATTATATACAGAGAAAAACACTTTATATTATAAAGTATACCACTGCTGTCCGAAGCCCAGAGGACAGAAAGAGGAGTCCACGGTAAAGGAGATCCCTCTCAGAGCGGTGGAGGCCCCTGAGGGCCCGGAGACCCCAGCAGTGACGGAGCAGCGTCCGAAAGGAGCGGGGAAGTGAGCTGAAAGACGAGGAGCTTTGCACGAAGAGGATGTTCCCCGCGCAGGACAGCGCCACCATCAGGATAACACAGGAAATCTAGGACAGAACATTATTGACTGCTTGCTTTCCTCACAACATTTCATAAAGAAACTGTCATTCATGATTTCTCATTATGTCTTCAAGTGCTTATGTGAAAATGTTCTCTTTTTTTCTCCGGTCTGGTTTTGAATTGTTGTTGACAGGTTGTTCTGCTCATTGTGGATCACAAGATGATGGTTTCAATATATTTCTCTCGTACAGAAATATTTCAAATATGTTATTGAAAACTGGGGCCTATATCTGTGTGTGTGTGTGTGTGTGTGTGTTCCTAATGTATTTTATAACATTCTGCACTCACACTTCATATCTTATATGTTAGTTTTAGGTAAAGTAAGTGTTTAGTTTGAAATGCTGCTGGTATTTCTGCTCTCTGTGTTTACCGTTGGCCAGAGGAGGCTGCAGAGTGAGCGGGTGAGGAGTGAGTCGGAGGAGTTCACTCTCAGCACGGTGACACACTTCATGGTGAGGAGGAAGAGCGTAATGCCACGCAGAGATCGAATACACTGTGAAACAAAACACAACGTAACACTGAGTCAGTAGTAGAATCCTTTAAATCATTAAAAAGCTTCTTAATGTGAGCCCACTAGTTTATTCCCAACATGTCTTTTAGTAAATGTTATTCTTCTTCTTTTAGAAATTCTTTTTGCGTGTTTTATTCCATATATAAAAATCTTGTAATTGTTTGATTTTATGTCATTCATTCAGTCAAACATTGGTAAATAAATAACTTTTTAGCTTCATGACTCTGCCTTGGTTCACAGTTTTATTTCCACTATGGTCAGCACCTCTCCCACACTGTAGTGCATTCCTCCTCTCTTCCTGTTCCCTTTTTAGCCATGTAGAGCACTTGATAACTTGGATTATAATGCCTTTCAATAATTACTTTCATTTTAATATCCGACACCATGATCTGTTAGGGATTTCTAAACCTTAAAGTTGGGCTTTCATTCAGTATTTACCTTTAAAGGAACGTTGTAATTAAGTCCTTGTGATTATCCCCCCTAAAGATGAGGCTTTTTTTCAAGGGAAGCTCCTTTTTTCAAACTAAAGCAGGAGTAGCAGTGAGCTGTTTTCTACGAAGCCCTGGAGGGTTCATAGAGAGAAAAATAAATAAAACGAGGCCACGTTTTATTAATGCACACGATATACTTTCTCGTTCGCACGAGATACTTTCTTATGGTAAAACACATCGAACTGCCCGATTATTTCGCCATATTATTAGTTTTATGAAGAATATGTCCGGTCGCCAGGGCTTGTGTGTGTGTGGGGGTAGGGCATTTGTTTATGATAGTGTTGTTCATTCCGGTGCACTCCGGCAGGACTATAGCACTACATCGAGATTAAGATTAAACACATGTATTTCACTTGGGAATACACATATAACTATGGAGAACCAGATGTGTGTAAATTACTGTTCATGGTAATTTGAAAACAAATGCCACACACCGAACACACACACACAGAGCGGAGCTGAGCACAAACACACACACATCATAGTGACCGGACATCTCCTTCATAAAACGAGAAATAGGGGGAATACTCTGGCAGTTCGATGTGTGTAGAGGTGTGTGTGGTTAAACCTCTATGGGTTAAACGTAGCAGCCTCAATCTCTATTCAGCGGTTCTAATGAAGGGAAACACAATGAAGTAAACAGTAAAAGGCACAGCTCTTTGCAGCTGGTGCTGCTCTTCTCAGATTCTGCTGAGTTACACGTTACTGCCTCCAGTGCCCTGTACAACGAAGCCAGTTCAACAGACCCTGGATATGTTTGAGTTACCCGGTTTAACTAACCCTAACAAACGCGATCTCGCTAAGCGGTCCTACGAAGCTGGTTGTCAACTCAGTAAATCTCTGTCCGGCTGAGAGCAAGTTCACGTGAAAGGGATGGGGTTAGCAACATTTGACCAATCACAAACATGGAGAAGCGTGTTGACAGCGCAGCGTCATACTTCATGAATGAAAAGTAAATAGCAAATCCTGCTTCGTAGTACAGGGCACTGGTGCCGCAGAGATTTCATAAAGTGAAGGAGGTTTTCCTTCTATAAAACAGCTGTGGGCAGCAGACACTGTGAGAGTCACGGACAGGAATTCATAGATCAAAGCAGACTGGTTTACAGACTCTTCTGTTTTGCGAATCCGGTGCTTAAACAAATAGCGCTAAACCCCTGGCCAAAATGTCCCCAAATGAAGTCCGAGTTTGAAATATATCTAAAATAATGTATGCACTGCCATTTCTCCACATAAACATAACAGTCTGCAATGAAACGGTTGTCTCCTCTGTGCTCCACTTCCTAATTGGCGCACCGGTAACTTTAACCGGTAACTTTAACTAACGAAATACTTTCTCGTTTGCACAAAATAGTATTTTGTGCGAACGAGAAAGTATATCGTGCGCACGAGATACTTTTTTTTTCTTCTCCATGAACCTTTAGGGGCTCCGTAGTTTTCTCAACATTAAATATTGTTTTTTCCGTCTCACTTGTTCCCATGTTGCCAGGAGGCTGACATCCACATGCCCTCTGTAGCTGTGTTTGTGCAGCAGCTCCACAACCTCCAGGACGATAACGGAGCGATAGATGTAATACATATAGTACACTAAATACACAGTCAGCAAACTGACCTGCAAACAGAGAGAGAGAGAGAGTTATATTTCTACAGCAGTCAAAGCATACACAGGTAGATTATTTGAAAGTTAAGACCATGCTGTGACCTTCCACAGGTATGTTGGTTTAAGAGCTGCAGGTTACTTTACCCTGCAGATAGGTCATTGTGATCTTGTTTGCATTGGTGTGTGGCCAAGTGTGTGTGCATGTTTCTGTGTGTTTACTGTATCTTAAAGTTGTGTGCAAGCCAAAAATAAATCATATTATGTTGATATATCTGTTTTATTGTGTTGCACTGTTGGAGGAGCCTGTGACCTAATATTTGTATTGTCATAACTACACTGTAGCTATGTACACATTACAATAAAAGCCTTGAATTGAATAGTTATATGTTTGCCTGTGTGTGTAATGCATATGTAGTAGACTCACTTCCAGCCAGTTGCAGGGAGTCCTCCAGTATCCCATCAGCCCTTGCTCCCCTACAGCGTACACTTGACGACAGAGTTGCAGCAGAGACAGGACGAGGAAGAGGAGCTGGAGGGGAGGAAGAAGCACATGATGTTTTTCGTTGCATGGCCTCAGATCTACTTCATATAGTAAACAAATCTCTTCACTCAGGTATTTTTCCACAGGCCCTGAAAACTGCAGTCATTAAACCGCTCTTAAAAAAGAATAATCTAGATGCTTCAGTCATGAACAATTACAGGCCCATATCAAACCTGCCATTTCTAGGTAAAATCATTGAAAAAGTTGTTTTTCAACAGTTGAGTAATTTCTTGCATTTAAATAGCTGTTTGGATGTGTTCCAGTCAGGCTTTCGTCCAAACCACAGCACTGAGACTGCTCTTGTAAAGGTCTTCAATGACATCCACTTAAACACAGACAGTGGCAGAACTTCAGTGTTAGTATTATTAGGTCTCAGTGCTGCGTTTGACACTGTTGACCACAACATATTACTCGACCGACTAGAAAACTGGGTGGGACTTTCGGAAACAGTTCTAAATTGGTTTGAATCCTACTTAAAGGACAGAAAAAACTTTGTTTCTATAGGTAAATACACATCTGAGTTGACAAATATGACATGTGGGGTATCTCAAGGCTCCATCTTGGGGCCTCTTCTCTTTAACATCTCCATGCTACCACTGGCTCAGATAATGAAAAACAACAAAATAAGTTACCATAGCTATGTGGATGACACACACATTTACATAACAATTTCACCAGGAGACTATGCTCCAGTTAAAACACTGAGTAAGTGCATTGAACAAATCAATGACTAAAGATAAAACTGAGGTAATGGTTTTTGGAGCCAAGGCAGAACGTATAAAAGTTAGCGCTGAGCTTCAGTCTGCAATGTTCAAAACAACAGATAAAGCCAGAAATCTAGGTGTAGTCATGGACTCTGACCTGAGTTTCAACAGTCACATTAAAACAGTTACTAAATCAGCCTACTATCACATAAAGAATATATCTAGGATTAAAAGACTAATGTCACAGCAGGATTTGGAAAAACTTGTCCATGCTTTTATCTTCAGTAGACTCGACTACTGTAATGGTGTCTTTACAAGTCTCACTAAAAAATATATTAGAAAGCTGCAGCTAATTCAGAACGCTGCTGCTCGAGTCCTCACTGACACTAAGAAAGTGGATCACATCACTCCAGTTCTGAAGTCTTTACACTGGCTTCCTGTGTGTCAAAGAATAGATTTCAAAAATACTGCTGCTGGTTTATAAAGCACTGAATGGTTTAGGCCCAAAATACATTTCTGACCTCCTGCTAAATTATGAACCATCCAGATCTCTCAGGTCTTCAGGGACTGGTCAGCTTTCTGTCCCCAGAGTCAGAACTAAACATGGAGAAGCAGCGTTCAGTTATTATGCTCCAAATATCTGGAACAAACTCCCAGAAACCTGCAGGTCCGCTGCAACTCTGACTACTTTTAAATCCAGGCTGAAGACTTTTCTTTTTGCCGCTGCTTTTAATTGAACTATTTACATCTTAGACTGCACTGTAACTTTTATCCATGTATTTTTTCTTTTAATGTTTATTTTATTATCTTTTCTTTTTAATGACTGATTTTAAATGCCATTTTCTTAATGTCTTTCGTTTTTTGTAAAGCACTTTGAATTGCCTTGTGTTGAAAGGTGCTATATAAATAAACTTGCCTTGCCTTGATGAAATAAAAAGCAAGCTTCCATTTGTATTTTGTAGATTCTCTCCAGCTGCACACTAGTGGTTTCCACAGATTAAAAGCTAATGCAGTATTTTACCTGGCACACCATGACACCATATTCCCCCACAGCAGGAGAGTGACAGCCCCCCACTGACTGGACCCTGGCAGAGGGCAGTAGGCCAGCGGGGGGGCTCTGCTCAGTGTGCAGGGTCACACTGGTGAACAGGTTTGGTGCAGGGCTGAACAAGGTGAAGTGGAGAGAGACCGTATGTCCGTCCAGCCAGCCGTCTGACTGCAGGAGCTTCAGTTTGGACGCAGCAGCAGACCTGCAGAAATACAGGAAGTCTTTCAGCACATTTGGAAATTCCTCATAACTCTCTACAAACACTCAAAATCTTGCCCAGTTTATTCGTCTAATATCTAGTCAGAATATGTCTTTACATCTGATATAAGAAATAATAACTTCAGAAGTGACACCGCAGTGAGATATCGGGTCTTGTTTTGAGACGATGCATCATCTTGTAACTAACATCACCAACTAACATCAGAAAACAGAACACTTTTCAGCATTTGCGGCTTATATTGTAACACAACATTTCCTGATCCTGGTAAAATATAGTTTAAAATAAGTTCTCCCAGTTAATTACAAGATCTGATTCATCTAAATATCCCATCTTATTTCAAGAAATCTTACCAAGCAAATGTTCACTTGTTCTATTGGCAGATTGTTGTAGTTATTTCAGGTGAAAACAACTTGTTTTACTTGTTTATGGAGCAGCATTGTTTCCAGTGTCCTCCCCATCATGTGTCTGTTTCTCACTTTGTGTGGCCTAAGCCGACTGAAGCACTCTGACCAAACGTCCCTGGAGGCACCGAGTCTTTGGTTTGTTTGTGAGAGGATCTGCTCCCAGACCAGAAAGAGAGAAGACTCTCTGGTACGAGAGTCACACTGGAGACCTGAGCGGTCAGAACAAAACCATCATTTAAAGGTTAAAATCGACGATGAAGGATTAATGAATCTCTTAAAGTAATAATTCAAAACTGTGACACATTTTGCATTACTGGACACATACAGTATGGGTCAATATGTGTGAAACAGCGCTCTCTAGGGGGGAGTTGGTGCAAAACCATGGATTCAAATAAAGACACTGTATTTTTGAGGGAGAATATTGTTTGACTAAGTTGGTAAAGGTGCTACTATAGGGTTAGAAGTACAATCATGTTAATTTTCTAGGAGCTGTCATTAATGGTACATGTTTGTATTAGAATAATAGAAGTGGAGTACTTCTGTACATTAAATGTCTCCTTTGGTTATTTACCTTGCGTTGAAAAGCACTTGACTCCTCCCTCCACAGGATTGGCTCTCCAATCAAGGTGTGTGACTGCTGCAGGACATCAAATTATTAAGCAGAGAAAACGTGGAAATGTTTGTTTTTATGTTTCATGATACAGGAACATGTATTTCTTTAAGATGGTTACAGAAGTGTGCATTCATGGCATTGGATGAATTATTCTCAAGGTATTTTAGAAACTTCACTGCGATGCCTTTTGTATCTCACCACAGTGGATGATGAATTCTTGTAGAGTGAATGAAGGAGATTCTTCTGCGCCCACAGCCACCAGTCCTCATGCTTTTGAATGGACATGAATGCATTATCATGGCCCCTGTTTAAAGATAAATAATCATTTTGAAGTGTGTCAGAGAGTTAAGGGGATAAAGAGAGAGACAGCATGTTTAGGATGTCACCTTGTGAACTGTTTTCTGACAGCTTCATTGAGTTGGTAATGATCAGTGAATGAGCCGCCATAACTTATGCAGAGCATCAGGAGAAGCATGGAGCCACAGACGGACAGATCCCTGGGGTAAAAGAGAAGGAGATATTTTCTTATAGAGCTTTAAAGGTAAACTATTATGCAAAATCCTCTTCTTCATGTCTCTTCTACATCAACATGTGTCCCCTCTTCTTCATGTCTCTTCTACATCAACATGTGTCCCCTCTTCTTCATGTCTCTTCTACATCAACATGTGTCCCCTCTTCTTCATGTCTCTTCTACATCAACATGTGTCCCCTCTTCTCCATGTCTCTTCTACATCAACATGTGTCCCCTCTTCTTCATGTCTCTTCTACATCAACATGTGTCCCCTCTTCTCCATGTCTCTTCTACATCAACATGTGTCCCCTCTTCTTCATGTCTCTTCTACATCAACATGTGTCCCCTCTTCTTCATGTCTCTTCTACATCAACATGTGTCCCCTCTTCTTCATGTCTCTTCTACATCAACATGTGTCCCCTCTTCTTCATGTCTCTTCTACATCAACATGTGTCCCCTCTTCTTCATGTCTCTTCTACATCAACATGTGTCCCCTCTTCTCCATGTCTCTTCTACATCAACATGTGTCCCCTCTTCTTCATGTCTCTTCTACATCAACATGTGTCCCCTCTTCTCCATGTCTCTTCTACATCAACATGTGTCCCCTCTTCTCCATGTCTCTTCTACATCAACATGTGTCCCCTCTTCTTCATGTCTCTTCTACATCAACATGTGTCCTCTCTTCTTCATGTCTCTTCTACATCAACATGTGTCCCCTCTTCTTCATGTCTATTCTACATCAACATGTGTCCCCTCTTCTTCATGTCTCTTCTACATCAACATGTGTCCCCTCTTCTTCATGTCTCTTCTACATCAACATGTGTCCCCTCTGTGGAAAGAGACTCTGAAAGTTTCAGGAAAAAAGATTCTCTCTCTTTTTGTCCTGATGCATTTCTATAAAAACCTGTCTGAAAATGAGCTGATCAGATTTTGGCCACTTTATGATGTCATGACGATGTTTTGTCTTGTGTAACCATTAGCCAATCACCAACCAAGGTAACCCCCCCCCCCCCCCCCTACCTCATCACCTGAATCTCCTCCTAGAGCACCATTGAGTTCTTTGTAACCAAATATCTCTCAGAGGGGTGTGGGGAGGGGCTCCTTATTTTCATCTAAAGTAACAGACAGAATCAGCACTTTGGAAACAGGGCTGAAACAGAGGGGATTATGGGTAATGCTGCAATGATCTGTTTGGTGTTTGGAGCCAAACACTTCAGAGACATGTTCTGTATATATCTGAGACCTGTGATATATTGGTGAATACAGTATAATAGGGGACCTTTAAATCCCTTAGAAACGGTTGCAAACAAAGACGAACCTGAGAGTGTTCTGGATCAGTTTCTCTCTTCGTTTCTTCCCTCTGGTTTTCCTCAGCTCTGCTGGAGTCGGCGGGCGCACGAGACGGAGAAACCTGACTCGCTGCCGAGCTCCAAGCAGCTGTTAAACACACATCATGACTTTAGATTTAAATAGAGAAAGAATAAATTAGAAGAGAATAAAATAGAGTCGGACTATCACCTGTTCAAGGTAAGAGCTTCTGTCCTGAGGAAAGGCAGCATGGTGGCTCTGCAGGTTCTCACACTCTCTTATACTGGAGGAAGTATGAAAGTCTGATCTATTCCTGAACCAGAAGGAGACCACCACTGCCACTGCAGATATCTGGGGAAAGAAAAAATAACATGTACAGTGCAAAGCTTTAAAGACAGATGATGCTTTTTTCACGGTTCATACTTGTATTTTGGATTTCTACTAGAACATGTTGTACATGCTTTAATGATCACATTTTTTTTGTTTTCTTATAATATCAGCCTAAATATACCTGTATTTACACTAAAAGCTTAATTTAAGTGCCTGATTCTTTACGCTCACCTCCTGAAAAAGCACAGTTTGCTCTGATATGTGCCATTTCAATTTAGTTAAGACTAAATTTCATAAATATTCGGAGCTTTTGCAGCGCATGTGAAGGCATCAACCCATGATAAAACAACAGCATGGTTCAATAATCAAAACTAAAAACATAAAACCTCATCATCCTTTCACCCTTAAAAAATATATACCAGATTCCATTTTCTTTCAAAATAAAAGCCCTAGACATGTAATCTACTCATGTCCTTTTCTCTATTTGTTTTCATTGGAAAAGGCTTTATTTATTTACCAGGGCTGGCTGGATGATGAAGATGCAGAACACCAGGGAGAAGAACAGCGAGTGCATCCACAGCAGAACCTTGCTGCTGCTGAACCTGACACATGAGAAATAAATGTTAGAAAAATATCACTGGTCACCGGCTTGAGCTCCAATCTCAGGATCCATGTATCTGTGATCCTCTCCAGAATCATATACAGAGCATCAACTAGTTCCTGAACAGTGTCCTTCACATGCTGATATCCAAGAGAGGGAGTTACTCAGTCACAAGATGGAGGAATAGAAAGCAGTATTCAATGTTTACTTCAGATTAGCTCCACGTCAGAAATGATCATGCTTGTCATATGTCTATCTGCATAGAGGCTGAATCATCATGTTAATCACATAGCTATCATATGCCTCAAACAGTCCTGATGCTCTTCTAGGTAATCACACATCCTGTCATGTTCACAGCTACAGTTGGGATACCTTTGTTATCATGCTACTCTCATATTGGAAGAGGACATTCTGTATTTTCCCGACAATAAACATTATGACTGAGACATTTTAAAGAGTCAGTATTGATAATAAATCAGTCGGGATTATCCACACCACTTCACAATCCTCCAGATGTCTGTTACCTCATCCCCAGCACTGCAGAGAGCACCAGGCAGCAGAGGGACATCAGCAGACACAAAGTCCAGGCCAGGTAGAGGCCCCAGTGAGATCTGAATCCTCCTCCCTTCAGAGGGACGTCCTCCTCCAAGCTGCCGTCCGATGAACCCCCATCAACACTTCTCGGTTCCTGTCCTCCATCCCCCGTCCCAAACTCTTTTCCCGGAGGTGTGTGATTGGCATTGTCCCCCTCGTTAATGAGCAACAAACTGCAAAGTTTTGTGATTTCAGGTTCTTTATCCGTGTTTTTATTTTCCTGAATCGTAGGGGACACTGAAGGCAGATCTGTGCCCTGAAAACACAAGAGTTAGAGTCAGACAGGGTTCACCATGTTGTGGGAATAAAGATATAAAGTGCTTATCTTTTGCCTCCGATAGTCTCCATTTCTTTTATCTGTCAGATGATCATAATAGGACAACACATGTATGACCTTTAAATTCATAGTTTGTACAATAAGAGGGATTATTTCTTAGGAAAATCCTACTTCAAGGATTCTCAGAGTTAAAGTTTATTCCATCCAATACTCTCTTTGTTTTTACTTTAAAAAGGACAGTAAATTATTTTGTGAATGACATTTTTGTCTGTAGAATTAGCTTTTTCACTTGCAGACGTAGGTTTTCAAAGATCAAAAGCTAATGTAGTATTTTACTTTGCACAGGAAATGTATATCTTATGGTTTGTATTTCGTATATGTGCATTCTTGCTCATATCGTCTGACAAGCCTCTCTCCTTGATATGCATTCAAGAAATTCACAGAACAGATAAATGAGACGAGCGTAGTGAGAGGACAGAGCGAAGGTCACCTGGTATTTCTTCCTCCAGGTGTCCTGCGCCCACAGCTGCAGAACGCTCCAGGAGAGATGGGGCTCCGATATACTGCCGCTCACTGAAAAATCATCTGAGAGGAGACGAGTCACAATAAAATAAGGAGAAATAGAAAAGGAGATGAGGAGACAAGTTAAGATGAGATAAGATTTACTTGATTGAATCCCATTGGTAAATATTATCCTCACAGCAGCATGTTAAAACAAGGCATTGCACATAAAAAGTAGAAAATAAACAAACACAAAATAGAAACAGCTCAACAAAAAAATAAATAAAACAGAACTAAAGAGAAAAATATACATGTTAACAGTAAAATATACAAATCTGTAGACAAGACAAATTACAACTAACAAAATGGAGGATAGGATAACATTCATTTAAATTAAGTGTGAAAGAAGGATATGATTATAGTCTATGTCAAGTCGTTTTAAGACATTTTAATGCAGAAATGTCAATTAGACTTTAAATACCAAATCTGACCTTGAAAAAAGTATTTTCCAGTTGTTCTGCTCTTGGCGTGTTGAACTCTCTCAACCTCTTTCTGTCTGAACAGGAATGATATAACTGCTGCTGCTGGCAACATCACACACACACTCAGAAGTCCTGTCCGCACAGAAACAGCTGTTGCTTCTACACAGCCAAACTGGAAGGGCAACTGCAAACAACGGATCATCGTTAAAATGTTTTGGACACTCTTGGGGCTCTAAATATTAAACTGTATAGGTTTTATTAACCAACCTGATCATCCATGTGTGATATGATCAGTGTGCTGACACATGCATATCCCAGCAGAAGCAGCAGGCTCACACACAGTCTCTGAGTGTGTGTGAACGCGTTGGGGCAGGGGCAGCTGTACAAAGATATCCAGATGTGGTAATCGGCCAAATAGTCTGATAGCTTGAGACTCAGCGTCTGCAAGGGGGGGAAGATATTAATATGTGTTTTTTGTATCTGAGTGTATGTGTATGAGGACTCTGTACCTTATAAAAGCCTATTCCACGAGTGCATTTTACCAGAATCCTCTCCACCCGCCCGTCACTTTGGTTCACAGCCAACCAGCACTGAGCCACAAAGAGCCACGCACGTCCCTTCAGCTGCCCTCTGCTCACCTGGGTTATTAAGAAACAGAAGGAACACAAACCATATTCAAAAGGAAAGTCCACGCAGATCCCCAACACTTTACCCGGAGAATGACATTTGCATATCAATGACTGATCCTGTGTTACAGTTTTATCCCAGAGGCCATAAGACTGATGAACCCCTGAGCTCTGTGCCTTCACAACTTCATACCATCTGTTCGCATCTCACATGTTTATCTATTATTACAATAAGCAGTATTTAAATTACAGCATTTCATTTTACATTCTAGTGAACCCTGAAATGTTGAGTACCCCAAAGTGTTATGATAGTAATGTATAGTAGGGGTCCCAAGTACATAGAAACTGCCGGATGCTAACTTGCATATGTTGGGCACTTTGCACAATTAGCATAAATGGAGTTAATTAAGATGAATGGCATTATAGCATATGTAAACAAAAGTAAAACAATGATGTGGCCGATTTGGAGTGGTTTTGGGGCGATTTTCAGGATCAATGATGGCAGTTTTAACCAGAAAGTGGCCATATGTGTACTCTCTCTGAGCTGATTTTGACTACCATGAGTAATGGTGCCACCATTGGATGTACAGAGCACAAGATGGAAATGATTACCTCTACTGTGGGCAATTCTTTTTCAAATAAATAGGCAATCTGTCCAATACAAATACATTTCTAACTTTAGGGTACATTTCCGGGTTAACAACAGGACTCTATACGCTGACAACTAGACTATTTAGCTCATCTTATTATATTTTACTTGTATTTATTGAACTACTCCTGCATTATTTGCAACTTAGTCTATTTTATTTGTATTGTTTTATGCCTTATATCTATCTATATTGCATTGTTGGTGGAGCCAGGGAATGCCTCCATGAAAAATGAAGAATCCAACAAAAAGTGAAAATTCTTGAATGATTTTTAAAAAAACTCTCACAAAACATGCAGTACAATCCAACTCTCATTTATCCAGTCGTATATATTTTACAAACACGCCTGCAAAAATGTCAGAAGTGTTCATGCAGAACGGTCTAAAAGAGTGAGGAGAAATTGCACGTGTTTGTGAAGCAGTTACAGGATAAGTTAAATTGTGCAAGAGTTTGTAAACTGATGTTTATATAGTTTTAGTGTTGTGACATACTGCCGTAATTTACCCACAGGAAATACGTCAATAATTTTCTCAGTTTTTTGGATTCTACCTTCACCGAGAAAAACTAATTTGTATTTCAGAAATGAAGGAAATTGGGGGTAAAGCGGGGATGTCCAAACTACGGCCCGGGGGCCAAATGCGGCCCGCGGACCGTTTTGAATCGGCCCTCAGCTAATTAAAAAAGTATAAAGAAATATGGCCAACAAATTAAACTTCTGCATGTCTTGTATTGCACTTCTTAAATATATATGTTCAAATATATAACACAGTATTCGTGTGTAAATAAGAACCATTTTCAAATAAATTCAGTCAATTAAAGTTGAAAACATTTTCTAACAAATCTAAGTTGATAAGAAAAAAGCCAAATAACAAATGTACATAACGACCTTGAAATAGACCCTTCATATTTCCTCTTATTAAAAGCAATCTGAAGCTTTTGTTTTAGGGAATGAGCTGCTAACAAAATAAAGTAAACCTTCTGGAGAGCTGTGAGCTGTTGTGTTTCTTACGGTACGTCCACACAGCAGCTTTACGGCCCGTCCACACAGCGGCGTGCGTTGAAGCTTCCAACGCTTCTGCCCATTCACTTTGAATGGGGTGACGTCACTTTTAGCCGAACTGCATCATGGGAAGCGACGCGGAGCGTTGCTGGCGTGGCTCGCTGCAAAAGTTGAGCAATGTTCAACTTTTGACGCCTCGGCAGAAGCGTTAGCCAATCGAATCATATGCCAGTACAAGCTCTAGCCAATCAAACCGCTGCTTGTGTGTCAGGGGCGGGAGATTCATGTGATTGGTTGTTGGTCGAGTGTCAGACACGCCCGCCGGCAAGCGTCAACGCACGAATTAGACGAATCTTCCACCGCTTCCAACGCTTCTCTGCCCATTGACTTTGAATGGGGATGACGTCACTTTGCCTCGCTTTTCGCCGAACTGCATTGTGGGGGAGCGAAGCGAAGATTTCCAGGATTTCCAGGATTCAAAAGTTGAGCAATGTTCAACTTTTGAAGCTGAGCTGGAAGCGTCAGTCAATCAAATCACGTTTATGCAAATCTGACAGTAAAAGCGCTAGCCAATCAAACCGCGTGTAAGCAGGGAGAACCAGACCGCAGTTCATTTCCTCATATTCCAAACGAGAAATTACGGTAGCAAATCACCTGGTTCTTTACGACCAGAACTATTAACGGGATACAAACCGGAGGAACCAGGCATGGAGGGAGGAGGCAGAGACAGTGGGTGAAACTGGTAGGTTTTCGCCTGTTTGGGGAGTTTATATATATATATATTGCTCGCATAAAATCCCCGGGGTTTTTTTGCTTTGTATGTCGGGGGCGGGAGATTCATGTGATTGGTTGTTGGTCGCGTTGCTCGCAAAAAATCCCCAAGCTTTCAGACACGCCCAGCTCCAAGATTTTCAAGATTTTTGAAAAGCTGCTGTGTGGACGTACTGTTAAAGCATTTTCAAGTATCAAGAATAATTTACCTACATTTGATAGATGTTTCCAACTTATAACTGAACCTATGAGGCGATATACCTCTCCTCTAGTGAGTGGCCCAGCCCTTCGTATATTCTTCTGTATGTGGCCCTCTGTGAAAAAGCTTTGGACACCCCTGGGGTAAAGGATGTGTGTGGTGATGTCACTCTTTACCTCGGACACGTCCAGGTGTTTGATGTTCCAGCTCGGGGAGGGTCCAGAGTTGTCGTGCCAGATGTGCACCCCCCACACAGGGCCCAGGCTGTCGGCTGCACTGTGGGGTCAGAGACAGACCGCCTTTATAAATGAGCAAAAACAATTCAAAGCAGTTCAATAATTATGTGAGATTTATGTAAAACGCAGCTGTGTATTGACTTTATGTGGAGTTTTAGGATTTCACCTGATGATAAAGGTGTCTTGAGAGTTCCTCCTGAACAGAGTGCATCCTGGGACATGTAGTTCTCTTGTTTGTGAGAAACCATCTTCCCCTTTGAGCACCATGTACACCTGTTAAACACATAGAGGTTTCCTTTAAATATCGGATCATTTTGGGTAGCTTAGTTTAATACAAGTCAAGGAAAACAAGGTCTAATCACAAAAAAAGAGAGATATAGAAAAATCAGGAATAATACACTTGTTTTAAAAGAACAGAATTCAAGTTGTTGTTTGCCCTTTACTATCAGTAAGATGTCCAGGGACGTTTGGATTATTTGTATATGTGTTATCAAAGCCATCTGCTGGATTCACATGGCCTTGCCAGTGACCTGTTTCACGTAGATATAAAGACGGGAACAGAGTGAGACGTGTCTCACTTCTCTGTCTGAACAGCGATATTTCAGAATGAGGAGAGCTGCAGTTTTTCTGGCGTTGCTGCTCTGTCTGCTCTGGACGGGGGCTCAGGGTGAGGATGGAGGGGGGACAGGGAAGAAAGAGGGGGAGTTTGATATCCAAGGAGTGAAAGCAGCCCACGATTAGAGCAGCAGTCAGACCCAGGTGAGCACTGACGTCTTGGCTAAGCTGAAGGAGATCAGAGACATGGCCATCGAACACAGGTTCAAGATCCAGAGGCTGGAGCAAGACAACACAGGTGACACACCTGACGTAAAACACACTGAGAGCCACGTCACGCTGCACTGATACATGCAATCATCATCATTTAGATATAAAATTAATGTTTGTGAAAGTTGTCGTACTTGGTCAAGCTCCAGAGTAACATTTAGCATGACCCTAATACAAAACTCAATATTTGTTCAGCTTTAGAAGCCAAGATGAGCTCCAGTGAAAAAGAGGTGGGGGAGCTCCAGAGAGAGAACACAGGTAAGAAACAGAAACTCTACTACTAAACATTTCCCATTTCATAATTAACCTATTAATAGGATATATCATGAGGTTAATCAGCTGTTAACCTCCATCCATCCATCCATCCATCTTCTCCCGCTTATCCGTGGTCGGGTCGCGGGGGTAGCAGTTCCAGCAGAGAGCCCCAAACTTTCTTTTCCCTGGCGACATCAACCAGCTCTGACTGGGGGATCCCAAGGCGCTCCCAGGCCAGCGAAGAGATATAATCCCTCCACCTGGTCCTAGGTCTACCCCTTGGTCTCTTCCCAGCTGGACGTGCCTGGAACACCTCCCTAGGGAGGCGCCCAGGTGGCATCCTAACTAGGTGCCCGAACCACCTCAACTGGCTCCTTTCGATGCGAAGGAGGAGCGGCTCAACTCCGAGTCCCTCCCTGATGACCGAACTTCTCACCTTATCCCTAAGGGAGACACCAGCCACCCTGCGGAGAAAACCCATCTCGGCCGCTTGTATCCGTGATCTCGTTCTTTCGGTCATGACCCATCCTTCATGACCATAGGTGAGGGTAGGAACGGAAATGGCCCGGTAGACAGAGAGCTTTGCCTTCTGGCTCAGCTCCCTTTTCGTCACAACGGTGCAGTAAAGCGACTGCAGTACCGCTCTCGCTGCTCCGATTCTCCGGCCCATCTCACGCTCCATTGTTCCCTCACTCGAGAACAAGACCCCGAGATACTTGAACTCCTTCACTTGGGGTAAGGACTCATTCCCTACTTGGAGTGGACAGTCCATCGGTTTCCTGCTGAGAACCATGGCCTCAGATTTGGAGGTGCTGATCCTCATCCCAGCCGCTTCACACTCGGTTGGCGAACCGATCCAGTGAGTGCTGAAGGTCGCAGACCGATGAACCCTCACCGGAAATGGGTCCGACTTACTGCTGAGGACCCGGACACAGCTCTCGCTTTGGGAGTACAGAGATTGGATGGCCCTGAGTAGAGACCCCCTCACCCCATACTCCCGCAGCACCTCCCACAGTAACTCCCTGGAAACTCGGTCATATGCCTTCTCCAAGTCTACAAAACACATGTAGACCGGATAAGCGTACTCCCAGGCCCCCTCCAGGATCCTTGCGAGAGTAAAAAGCTGATCCGTCGTTCCACGACCAGGACGGAATCCGCATTGTTCCTCCTCAATCTGAGGTTCGACAATCGGCCTGACCCTCCTTTCGAGTACCTTAGAGTAAACTTTCCCGGGGAGGCTGAGTAGTGTGATGCCTCTGTAATTGGCACACACCCTCTGATCCCCCTTTTTAAAAAGGGGAACCACCACCCCGGTCTGCCACTCCTTCGGTACTGTTTCCGACTTCCACGCAACGTTGATGAGACGTGTCAACCATGACAGTCCCTCAACACCCAGAGCCTTCAGCATTTCCGGGCGGATCTCATCCACCCCCGGGGCTTTGCCACTGTGGAGTTGTTTGACGACCTCAGTGACCTCCCCCCGGGAGATTGGTGTTGATCCCCCGTCATACTCCAGCTCTGCCTCTAACATAGAGGGCGGAGTTGTCGGGTTCAGGAGTTCCTCAAAGTGTTCCTTCCAACGCCCTAACACTCCATCAGTTGAGGTCAACAACGTCCCATCCTTACTGTACACAGCTTGAATGGTTCCCTGCTTCCCCCTCCTGAGGTGTCGGACAGTTTTCCAGAACAACTTTGGTGCCACCCGAAAGTCCTTCTCCATGTCTTCTCCGAACTTCTCCCACACCCGCTGCTTTGCCTCGGCCACGGATGAGGCTGCTGCCCTTCGGGCCTGTCGGTACCTTGCAACTGCCTCGGGAGTTGAAGGCCTCCTGAACTTGGGCCTCCTCCAGACGTTCCCAGTTCACCCGAACTACACGTTTGGGCTTACCAGGTCTATCCAGAGGCTTCCCCCGCCACTCGACCCAACTCACCACCAGATGGTGATCAGTTGACAACTCCGCCCCTCTCTTTACCCGAGTGTCCAAAACATACGGCCTCAGGTCCGATGATACGATAACGAAATCGATCATGGACCTTCTGCCTAGGGTGCTCTGGTACCACGTACACTTATGAGCATCCTTATGTTCGAACATGGTGTTTGTTATGGCCAATCCATGACTAGCACAGAAGTCCAGTAACAAACCACCACTCCGGTTCAGATCAGGGGGGCCGTTCCTCCCAATCACGCCCCTCCAAGTGTCTCCATCATTGCCCACATGTGCGTTGAAGTCTCCCAGCAAGATTAAAGAGTCCCCTTCAGGAGCCCCATACAGGACTCTTTCCAGGGTCTCCAAGAAGGCCGTATACTCTGAACTGCTGTTGGGTGCATAAGCACACACAACAGTCAGAGTTTTCCCCCCCATAACCCGCAGGCGTAGGGAGGCGACCCTCTCGTCCACTGGGGTAAACTCCAACAACGAAGCACCTAACCGGGGACTTGTGAGTATCCCCACACCCGCCCGGCACCTCACACCTTGAGCAACTCCGGAGAAGAATAGAGTCCAACCCCTATCCAGAAGTAAGGTTCCAGAGCCGACGCTGTGCGTAGAGGTGAGCCCAACCAGATCCAACTGGTAACGCTCCACCTCCTTACAGCCATGTTTCCGGCTTCAGAACCGGACCTTACAGCCATGATTCTGGCTTCAATTCCGGCTCCAGAGCCGGCCCATACAGCCATGTTTCCGGCTTCAGAACTGGATCATACAGCCATATTTCCGGCCATGGTTCCAGACCTAGTACAGTCCCCAGCAGCCATGGTTTCAGCCCCAGTTCTGGCCCGAGCAGCCATGGTCCCGGCCCCTCTCCAGTCCCCTCTCGAGTCCCTTCTCTAGCCCCTCCTCTAGCCTCTCCTCTAGTCCCCTCTCCAGTCCCCTCTTGAGTTCCCTCTCAAGTTCCCTCCTCTAGTCCCTCCTTTAGTCCCTCCTCTAGTCCCTCCTTTAGTCCCTCCTCTCTCCTCTAGTCCCTCCTCGAGTCCCCTCTCTAGTTCCCCTCTCGAGTCCCCTCTCGAGTTCCCTTCTCTAGTTCCTCCTCTAGTCCCTCCTCTAGTCCCTCCTTTAGTCTCTCCTCTAGTCCCCTCTGGAGTCCCCTCTCCTGTCCCCTCTCGAGTTCCCTCCTCTAGTCCCTCCTTTAGTCCCTCCTCTAGTCCCTCCTTTAGTCCCTCCTCTAGTCCCTCCTCGAGTCCCCTCTCCAGTCCCCTCTCGAGTTCCCTCCTCTAGTCCCTCCTTTAGTCCGTCCTCTAGTCCCTCCTTTAGTCCCTCCTCTAGTCCCCTCTCTAGTTCCCCTCTCAAGTCCCCTCTCGAGTTCCCTTCTCTAGTTCCTCCTCTAGTTCATCCTCTAGTCCCTCCTCTAGTCCCTCCTCTAGTCTCTCCTCTAGTCCCCTCTGGAGTCCCCTCTCTAGTTCCCCTCTCGAGTCTCCTCTCGAGTCTCCTCTCGAGTCCCCTCTCGAGTCCCCTCTCGAGTTCCCCCTTGGTTCCCCTCTCGAGTCTCCTCTCGAGTCTCCTCTCGAGTCCCTACTTGAGTCACGTCTCAAGTCCCTACCCAATGTCCTGGTCCTTTGGAGGTTCCGCTGGGGGTCCTGCCAACTCCATGTCTGTCTCGTTGGAGGTCCCGCCGTCTACTCTCCTGCCGGGGGTCCTGCCAATTCCATGTCCTGTCCCGTTGGAGGTCCCGCGAACTACTCTCCTGCCGGGGGTCCTGCCAGCCCTGTGTGCTGTCCCGTTGGGGGTCCCGCCGACTGCCCTTCTGCCGGGGGTCCTGCCAACCCTGTGTCCTGTCCTGTTGGAGGTCCCGCGAACTTCTCTCCTGCCGGGGGTCCTGCCAACCCTGTGTGCTGTCCCGTTGGGGGTCCCGCCGGCTGCCCTTCTGCCGGGGGTCCTGTCAACCCTGTGTCCTGTCCTGTTGGGGGTTCCGCCGACTGCTCTCCTGCCGGGGGTCCTGCCAATCCTGTGTCCTGTCCCATTGGGGGTCCCGCCGACTGCCCTCCTGGCAGGGGTCCTGCCAACTCCTGGTCCTCTTCCGTGGGGGATCCTGCCGAGGCCTGTCCCACCAGCGCCGGTTCCTGTCCGGCCGACACCGGGTTCTGCCCGGCCTCCTGAGAGCCGCGGTATTCGCCCTCGAGCCCGGCCCCCTGAGAGCCGCGGTCTTCGCCCTCGAGCCCTGCCCCCTGAGTGCCGCGGTCCTCGCCCTCGGGCCCGGCCCCCTGACTCTTCCTGCCAGCTCTAATCCAGGAGCAGTTTGGAAATGAGCAGAAAGTGGCATCTGCTTATTTGCAAAAGGCTCTTTCATGGCCTCCTATAGGAACCGAGGATGTTAAGGCTCTGCAAGACTACAGCTTCTTCCTTAGAGCATGTGCAAACGCAATGGAAGAGGTGCAGTATTTGCATGAGCTTGACATGGCTGCAAATATGATGATCATAATAAGAAAGTTACCTTACCATTTCAGAGACAAGTGGAGAACTTTAGCCTGTGAGCTGCAGGAGAGGAACAGCCGCAGAGCAACATTCTTTGACATCACACACTTCATTGAGAGACAAGTTAAAATCTTAACCGACCCAGTATTTGGAAACATTCAAGATGCTCCCTTCATAACAACAAATACTGCTTTAAACAGATTACAGCCTCGCTCAGATTTTGTTGGAACTAGCTTTGCCACCACTGTAGCTCTTGTAGAAAAAGAAACCCAGACAGATACTGAAGGGAAGGAACACATTCTGACAAGATGGAGGACATGTCTGTGCTGCGGAGGAGGTCACACCTTGGACTCGTGCCATCAGTTTGAAAAAGGAACACACAAAGAGAAGATAGGCTTCCTGATGGAAAAAGGTGTCTGTTTCGGCTGTTTGTGCGTGGGGCACATTAGAAGAAATTGCAATAAACTAATTTCCTGTTCAAAATGTGGCTTCAAACATCCAACCATACTTCACATCCCTTCCAATGAAGCAAGACACAATGCTGCTCAAGCCAAGAATACATCAGATCTATCAGTGGACAGCGCACTGGTTTCAAGTGGCCTTACAGGGGCTGGTGATGACAATTGTAAACTTCCCATAGTTCCAGTGCAAGTCAAGTCAACGAAGGGCAGCAAGATTGTCACCACCTATGCTTTCTTGCAGCAGTGTTTTGTACATAGGATCTGCTGCACGAGCTCGGCCTAACTGGAAAGAAGGCGCAGATTATTTTACGAACCATGGGCCAAGAGAGGGTCGTAAATAGCCATATTGTGTTCGGACTAGAAGTGGCTGGCTTAAAAAATGACAAAAAAAATTGAACTACCACAAAGCTACACCCAAGTGCATGCCTGCCAGCAGTGGGAACATTCCTAGACAAGCGGACCTACAGAGATGGCCTCATCTGAAAAATGTTAATTTGCCTGAAATAAATGCAGGGATTGGACTGTTGATAGGAACCAATGTTGCTAAGGCCTTGGAACCATTGGAAGTCATACGCAGTGTGGATGACGGACCCTATGCAAGCAGGACAATCCTGGGCTGGACAGTGAATGGACCATTTAAAGGAGTGAGTGGGAATGCAATGGATTTGGACAAAGTATCTGAACAGAATCTCAGTTGTGTTTTGGATGGACCTTGGCAACAGCAGTTCGGCGCAGACTTCCCTGAATGCAGATTGGAGGAACAAGCTGGAATGTCAAGAGTGTTAGGGAAATTATTGACCTAGACTCCTAGATATGACGTACAGGACCAACCCTGACGTCTGTTTATCTCCTTTAAGGACATAGGCTGCTTCAGCCATAATATTATTGTTCCCATTCTGTGACCGGTCAACACTAGGTCACAGATGGTCTGCTGTTGTGGGTGCACTGGGACACTTCCTTCTTTGTTGTTTGTGGACTCCAAGGTATGACATCTTCGAGGCCATAAATGACGGACGCAAGTGACTCAGTGTGCCCAAACTGTTTAAACTATCTTATCAAAATATCTTGATTACTCTCTGTGAAACCAGTTAAATGCACTAACGAGAGAGAGGCGCTCCAGAATTGACGTGGCAACCCACCCGTGCAGTCAGACCGTGACTGCTGTGACTTGTGATGTGAACTCTCCGGCCGAAACTCCAAATAAACTTCCAGTGTTTGACATCAAAGCTCCTGCTCTACCGTGTCTCCTTCCTGAGTCGGTGACTCCCACTGCATTGCTACACAGAAGTTTCCCCTACAAAGAGAGGATCTCAAGTTTAAGAGGTTTGCGAAGAGAGTGTTTTTTCAGCAAGAGTCGAAGAAGTGTAAAAATAAAAGTTTAAAGATGAGAAGAAGCCTCATCTCAAATCCCAACAAAAGCCCTCTCCTTCAATGGCTGCTCAGAAAGGCCCCCGCTGCAAACAAAGAAATGGAGAACAGGATGAAGTGGACCAACGTGCTCTACAAGGCCGAAGGACCCAGAGTCAAAGACGACGAGGACATGCTGCGCTCCTCGTTAAAGAAGGAGTGGGGCGATCAAAGCGAGAATATCGTGAAAAAGACATCTTTTCCACAGTATTGACTCTTTTCGACTGACAGAACACAAGGATTATCTTTGACTGAGCCTAGGTGGTGGTACCTTTTGGCCTAACTGACTTGTGACTCGTACACAGAAAAGAAGGAAAACTACACATACATGAATGTAACTGCATGGACTTGATTACTAAGCTATAATTGTCACATGTCTCCTATTTGAATAATGTTAGTAATTATTATGTATACTATCCTAATAATTAGAGGCTGGTGTGTAGGAGCCATGATCACTGTTGATTAGTTGGCTTGGGTCACTCACATGGGTATGGGTGGCACTCATTATAATCCTGTTCACCTGCGTGAGGTGTGGGTGTGTGGAAGAGAGGGTGACACAGGGCTGTTGTACTTTTTTGTTGACCGCAAGATTTACGATTGCTTTGATTATTATAACAATGTATGATCACCGAGTTTTTTGTGATTAAATTACAATACTATCAAACAGAGCTTTTGATCTCAGCAAGTACCTTTTTTTAGCGTGTCATACAACTTCAAACGGGCCCGGCCTCAGCGACTTTGTTTCCTCCTGTCGCTATACTATCAGAGAAACACTTTAGCAGTATGTTGTTGTCCAAACCCCCTAAACCGAGACCAAGTCAAGACCAAAGAGCCCTCTAAGTCTGTGCCCTGACTACAGAACTGTGATACGATTAACAGCAAACCATAGACACTCCTCACAATGATCTGTAAAATCTACATCCCCATAAAAACTCAAATGAAGACTCCTCTTCATTTACCTCTTTCATTGCCATATATACATTACCTACATATATGTGAAACTTGAGACCAAGACCGATCTGAAAGTCAAAGGCAACTTTATTGTCAATCTCAAAATACACAGAGGGATCCAAATACTGTTTCCTACGGAGCCCTGGAGGGTTCATAGAGAGAAAGAAATAAAACGTGGCCACGTTCGCACGAGATACCTTCTCGTGCGAACACTTTATTAACTCGTGCGCACGAGTTAATAAAGCGTGTAATCAATTTAAATTGATTAGTTTTATGAAGAATATGTCCGGTCGCCAGGGCGTGTGTCCGGTCGCCGGTGTGTGTGTGTGTGGCAGAAAGTGCCTCCCAACACCTACCGCGGTGCTTGTTGAGACACCGGGGGCCACATGAACACGAACACACACATTTAAGAAACAGCAGACAACAACAACAAACAAGCCTCCCTATATGCCAATTAAAAAAGCAGAGAAACGGGTTTAAGACAAAAAACTGATTTATTTTAGAGACTCGGAACGAGCGATTCAAGAAAAAACGACGATTGGTAGAAGTGAACGTCTTCGTAAGTCCTCCTAAATTTAACTCTGAATCACAAACATGACAAACCACCACAGAAGAAGAATCTTCACCAAAGTGCAAAACACAAACAGTTTGTTGCGCTGGTGGAGCAAAACACACGTCCTTTACAAGAGTACCATGTCCTCACACAGGTGCACGGTGGTACCCACACACACACACTTACACAACACACACACACACACACACACACACACACACACACACACACACACACACACACACACACACACACACACACACACACACACACACACACACACCAAGGTGACAGGACATCTCCTTCATAAAACAAGGGGGAATACTCTGGTAGTTCGCTGTGTGTATAGGTGTGTGTGGTTAAACGTAGCAGCCTCAATCTCTATTCAGCGGTTCTAATGAAGACACAGTGAAGTAAAGAGTAAAAGGCACAGCTCTTTGCAGCTGGTGCTGCTCTTCTCAGATTCTGTTACGTTACTGCCTCCAGTGCCCTGAACGACGAAGCCAGTTCAACAGACCCTGGATATGTTTGAGTTACCCGGCTTAACTAACCCTAACAAACGCGATGTCGCTAAGCGGTCCTACGAAGCTGGTTGTCAACTCAGTAAATCAGCCAGGGTTTCTCTGTCCGGCTGAGAGCGCGCTCACGTGAAAGGGACGGGGTTAGCAACATTTGACCAATCACAAACATGGAGACGCGTGCTGACAGCGCAGCGTCATACTTCATAAATGAATAGTGTAAATAGCAAATCCTGCTTTGTAGTACCTCGTTGTATTTAAAGCGTGGCCACGCTTTACATCTCGTGCGCACAAGTTAATAAAGCGTGGCCACGTTTTATTTATTTTTCTCTCTATGAACCCTCCAGGGCTCCGTAGTTTCCCACAGTCCCGAGGTATACAAAAAAAAAACACACATTAAAATGCAAGAACACTCAATAATTGACAAAAAAAACACAAAATAACCGTTTACTTCAAGTAAGCAGGATATATATATAACACGATGATGTGAGTGCAAAAATGTCCATAGCAGCAGTGACTGGTGCTGGATTTGTTGTGTCTGTGTGTGAGGGGGGTGTTAAAGTCCCGGTCCTGTGGGGGCAGGGTGGAGAGGTGAGATCGAGGGGAGAGAAGGGAGGGAGGGGAGAGAGGGTACTACAACACTGCATGCAAGTGTCAATAAACATAAAAGGATGTCAAGTGAACTCTTTTACAGAACAATATTATGCTGAGAAACCAACCATGCATCCATTCAACACTTAAACAGGCGCTATTATGTTTTTTGGGGGGGGTTCCCTCTCCTCTAGGTTTCTGTGCATGTCAACGGTCTGCTAAATTCCCTGTGTTCCCTCCAGAAGGAGTTTCTCTCCCACAAAAAAACAACCTTACCTTTGCACTCATACGTGCTGCAGAGCAGAGAGCGGTGTGGATGGTAACAGCATAGAGGTACGGGTCACACGGGGAGTTGTCGGAGAGGTAGTGGACTCTCCGGTGAGTCTCTGAGGCGACATCAGCTCTGAAACTCAGCAGCAGCGCCGGGACGGAGAGGCTCAAACACAGCAGCAGCACCAGCAGCACCGTCAGGTCTCTGCGCACACTGAGAGGGAGGATGGACTCTTATCTTTACATTCTCGTTAAAAAAATAAAAAATCTTTTCATTACTGATTAATTTGCAGATTATTTCCTAATTAAAGCAATTAATCGGTTGGTTTATAAAATATCAGAAAATAGTAAAACAAATCCCAGTTTCTCAAAGTCCAAAACTTTTTTTTCATGTTATAAAACAGAAAAGCTGGACATTCACACATTTGAGTCTGAAAACTGGATTTTAAAAGTTTGTTTTTGGTATCAATCAACAAATACACTCATTGCTGCAACTCTTTTGCAAATGCCTGCTTCTCAGTCAGTTCATGAAGGTAGAAAATCTACAAAACCTACATTTTTTACATTTGAAAACTGATCACCAAAACATGATCGTGCTCTTTCTGTTGCACTGAACCATGTACTCTTTCAGGAACATGTCCATCATACAAATACAGTTTAACTAAGAGGGATATTTAGTTTTCTCTGGTTAAACACCTGTTCTGAGGAGGGTGGCTTTACCTGAGGAAGGGGTCCAGGTGTGTTGTTTCATGGCTGCTGTGGATCTGCTGCCGCTCCACAGTCAGCGGCCTCAGCTGGTGACAACTGAACAGAAACCACAATTATCTGAAGCATGTGTGTGTTTCCCTCCGAAGACTTGACCGATGATTTCGAATGTATTGAAACTCCAGAATCAACTTAAGAGCCACAAAGACACACAAATAACAAATACATTTAGGCTCCATCCGCATTAGAATCACTTAGCATACTACCAAAAGTGAACTGCAAACAGCCAGCCCACATTTTTATATTATAGTTAATAGCAACCTTGTGCCTCTTCGGGGGGTGCTAACACTTTGCTTTCGCCGCCGTTATATGTAAATATTAATTTTCTCTGTCACGTTGTTTGCATAGCAACAACAACTTCTTGTTAACAGCACAAACTCGTCTTTAAAATAAAAGCATGTCCATACAAAATAGGAAGCCAAGCTAAATTACACTTAAGACATATACAACTGCAACAAAAACAATGCAATATCCTTTTCAGTTTCACAGAACACAAATTGGGTTATTTACTGTGTGTGTGTGTGTGTGTGTGTGTGTGTGTGTGTGTGTGTGTGTGTGTGTGTGTGTGTGTGTGTGTGTGTGTGTGTGTGTGTGTGTGTGTGTGTCCTCTTCCTTACCTGCAGGTGACGTCAGGAGAGGCGTCTGTTTGCTGAGTCCTGCAGCCGCGGGGTGACCACGCCCCCTGCTGGCCTTCCCAGGACAAACACAGGCTGCTGTCCACCGATAGGCTGTAGGTCACCTGCTCACTCAAGGGGGGGGCACCAGGCCTTTTCCCAAAATCAGCGTCCAGCAGGGCCACGTGACCAACACCTGCAGCTAGAGAGGTTTCTTTTTCAATAACTGCAGCAGGAAATACTTGAGAGATTTTAGTAAATATGAGATTGTTGGATGGATAGTGTAGAAGTGAATGATGAACTGAAATAGAAGAAATATATATTTTTCTTATCTTATAATTAGTTTTTAGCACTAAGCACTGAATAATAATGTGATTTCTCTCCAATATGATCAGAACACATTTTCTATGTTGTCAATTTTAGATTTGTTAGAGTAATACAATAATATGGAAAACTACTTAAATGAAATGCATTGACTACATTTGAAATATTAAGTCAATGCATTTCATTTTCAGACATTTTCCACTTTGTTTAATCCTTGTTTAAATTAGACATTCTTTATAAAAACTGTGGCAATGTTGAGATTCAACGGATGATTTCTCTTTATTTACTTAAAGGAATAAGTAGTTATTAGGAGGGAGGAGAAGGAGGCGTAAATCTGATGAAAAGTCTCACCACTGAGGTAAGATGAGGGCAGAGTGAAGCGCGTGACGTTGCTCTTCCAGGTGTGAATCCCCTGCAGATGGTGCATGCTGGGAGTCGGCCTCTCAAACATCCTGCCACAACACAGACTCTAGCCATTTAATAAAATAGTAACGCTTTATTTGTGTAGCACTTTTCACACACCAGGTGCAGCTCAAAGGGCTTTAACAACATATGAATTCACTCTTTCAGTCTGCACACATGCAGCAGGACAACATGATAACACAGTTCAAGGAGGCAGAGAGGTAAAAGGTGTGAAAATATAAATATAATAAATAATGATCCCTCTCTGTAAAATAAAGGAAGACAAAATGTATAAATACAATAAAATATAAAAAATAATTATAATAATACAATTCAAAAAGGGGATGTTGCTAATAAAACCTAAAATAAATAAAAAACCTATAAAACCAATAAAATAAATAAAACAATACAAAAAAAGACAAATTCAAAAAGGGATGTGACGCTAAAATATTACGTTTTATTTTTATATTGCTCTGACCATCAGATGATAATGATTATAAAACAACAACCCAAGCCTACCTGAAGAGAAGCATGATGGGAAACGGCTTGCTGGGCGGCGTGAACACCACACTCAGCTGGATGGCCTGCTGCAAGTGCTTCTGGGTAAGGTTGAAGCTGTGGTGGTTGACCCGGCTGCGCAGGAGGACGTACTCGCACTCAGAGCTCTCCTGCAGGACAGAAGTTATCACAGGGTGAATTAGTGTAAAATGGTGCATATATAATCACAATAAGAGACATTTAATTGTGTAAAAGTGACAAACCTTAAAGCTATTTTAAACACTATGATTAAATAAAGAAATATACAAAATAAAATAAATGAAAATGTACTCTTAGAATCAAGAAATATGCAATATGTCAGAAAGTGACGTGGCACAGCTGTTATAAAACAGGTCACAATTGAACAGAGATGTTCAAAAGATCTTGTACTTAAGTAAAAGTAGAAGTACTCAGATTTTGTACTTCTGTAAAAGTAGAAGTACCCAGATCTTGTACTTGAGTAAAAGTAGAAGTACTCAGATCTTGTACTTGAGTAAAAGTAGAAGTACTCAGATCTTGTACTTGAGTAAAAGTAGAAGGACTCAGATCTTGTACTTGAGTAAAAGTAGAAGTACTCAGATCTTGTACTTGAGTAAAAGTAGAAGTACTCAGATCTTGTACTTGAGTAAAAGTAGAAGTACTCAGATCTTGTACTTGAGTAAAAGTAGAAGTACTCAGATCTTGTACTTGAGTAAAAGTAGAAGTACTCAGATTTTGTACTTCTGTAAAAGTAGAAGTACTCAGATCTTGTACTTGAGTAAAAGTAGAAGTACTCAGATCTTGTACTTGAGTAAAAATAGAAGTACTCAGATCTTGTACTTGAGTAAAAGTAGAAGTACTCAGATCTTGTACTTAAGTAAAAGTAGAAGTACTCAGATCTTGTACTTGAGTAAAAGTAGAAGTACTCAGATCTTGTACTTGAGTAAAAGTAGAAGTACTCAGATTTTGTACTTCTGTAAAAGTAGAAGTACTCAGATCTTGTACTTGAGTAAAAGTAGAAGTACCAGAGTGTAGGAATACTACAAGCAAAAATCCTGCAATCAAAATGTTCCTCAAGTAAAAGTATAAAAGTATTCGCATCAAAATATAGTGAAAGTAGCGACAGTGAAAGTAGTCGTTGTGCAGATTGGTCCATTTCAGAATAATATATATGATATGTTTTATAATGATTGATCATGAAAGTGTTCTCAAAGCTGGTAAAGGTGCAGCTAGTTTGAATTACTTTGTATAATGCAGGGTAGCTGGTGGATTTACTCCAGGTGGAACTAAAGTCTGATTTAACACTTCATTAGATTTAATCATATCATTTATCATTAATCCACATCTGCAAAGTAACTAAAGGTATTAAATAAATCTAGTGGAGCAAAAGTACACCATTTCCCTCTGAACTGTAGTGGAGTAGAAGTACAAAGTAGCTAAATATTGAAAGTAAAGTATCCACAGGCAGAGGATATCAATAATCACGTGAAAGAAGAAATAAGGACATACGTTGTTTGATGGTTGTTTCAGCTGGATGATGATTGGCTCGATGAGGGAGCGCACTGGGATCTTCCTCCTCGAGCTGCACTGGTTCAGACTCAGCTCCACCACAGGTCCACTCAGCTGCAAATCAGCAGAGGAACATGAGACTGATGCCTTGCTGTTAAAGGTCTCCTATTATACTCTTTTTCAACAATATATTACAGGTCTCAGATATATCCAGAGCCTGTCTCTGATTGGCTGAAATACCAAACAGATCATTGCAGCATTACCCATAATCCCCTCTGTTTCAGCGCTGTTTCCAAAGTGCTGATTCTCTGTCTGTTACTTTAGATGAAAATAAGGAGCCCCTCCCCACGCCCCTCTGAGAGAGATTTGGTTACAAAGAACTCAATGGTGCTCTAGGAGGAGATTCAGGTGATAAGGTGGGGGGGGGGGGGGTTACCTTGGTTGGTGATTGGCTAATGGTTACACAAGCCAACACATCGTTATGACATCATAAAGTGGCCAAAATCTGATCAGCTCATTTTCAGACAAGTTTTTATAGAAATGGATCAAAAAGAGAGAGAATCTTTGTTCCTGAAACTTTCCGAGTCTCTTTCCACAGAGGGGACACATGTTGATGTAGAAGAGACATGAAGAAGAGGGGACACATGTTGATGTAGAAGAGACATGAAGAAGAGGGGACACATGTTGATGTAGAAGAGACATGGAGAAGAGGGGACACATGTTGATGTAGAAGAGACGTGAAGAAGAGGGGACACATGTTGATGTAGAAGAGACATGAAGAAGAGGGGACAAATGTTGATGTAGAAGAGACATGAAGAAGAGAGGACACATGTTGATGTAGAAGAGACATGAAGAAGAGGGGACACATGTTGATGTAGAAGAGACATGAAGAAGAGGGGACAAATGTTGATGTAGAAGAGACATGAAGAAGAGGGGACACATGTTGATGTAGAAGAGACATGAAGAAGAGGGGACACATGTTGATGTAGAAGAGACATGAAGAAGAGGGGACACATGTTGATGTAGAAGAGACATGAAGAAGAGGGGACACATGTTGATGTAGAAGAGACATGAAGAAGAGGGGACACATGTTGATGTAGAAGAGACATGAAGAACAGGGGACACATGGTGATGTAGAAGAGACATGAAGAAGAGGGTACACATGTTGATGTAGAAGAGACATGAAGAAGAGGGGACACATGTGGATGTAGAAGAGACATGAAGAAGAGGGGACACATGTTGATGTAGAAAATACATGAAGAAGAGGGGACACATGTTGATGTAGAAGAGGGGACACATGTTGATGTAGAAAATACATGAAGAAGAGGGGACACATGTTGATGTAGAAGAGACATGAAGAAGAGGGGACACATGTTGATGTAGAAGAGACATGAAGAAGAGGGGACACATGTTGATGTAGAAGAGACATGAAGAAGAGGGGACACATGTTGATGTAGAAATACATGAAGAAGAGGGGACACATGGTGATGTAGAAGAGGGGACACATGTTGATGTAGAAAATACATGAAGAAGAGGGGACACATGTTGATGTAGAAGAGACATGAAGAAGAGGGGACACATGTTGATGTAGAAGAGACATGAAGAAGAGGGGACACATGGTGATGTAGAAAATACATGAAGAAGAAGGGACACATGTTGATGTAGAAGAGACATGGAGAAGAGGGGACACATGTTGATGTAGAAGAGACATGAAGAAGAGGGGACACATGTTGATGTAGAAGAGACATGAAGAAGAGGGGACACATGTTGATGTAGAAAATACATGAAGAAGAAGGGACACATGTTGATGTAGAAGAGACATGAAGAAGTGGATTTTGCATAATAGGTGACCTTTAAATCATTAAAAGTGTCATGATAGCTTGCATGTCTCACCCTCCTGTGATATGGGTCCCAGGTGAAAGGGCTGTGGCGGAGCTCTGTTAAAGTGCTGAGGACACACCGGGGTCTGCTGCCGTGAACAAGCTGGATCAGGGAGGGGGGCAGGGAGAAGGAGGACGACCCACTGCTGATCACTGTGGAGCTTTGGTTCTGGTAGGATGAGTATAAGGCTATGAGACCGGTGCTGACTCTGTGCTCCTGGACTTTGTGCATCAAGATGAACTTCTGAATGGAGAGAATGGACAGTAGTGAGATACATGTGAGGTGATGTGTTCCCTGTCCACAACCCCACCCTCAAACACTGCAACCACCATTTTGTATTTCATTTGTATTTGTTTCGTTCATGGTATGCACAACTTAATGTATAACAATTATTTACAAAACATGTCTCTATAAACAATAATAATAATAACAATCTTATATTACCTGCCCCTTTCTCAAAAAAATTTAATAAATAGAAATAGATGGTCTGTCCTTCATATTTTCTTATTCACAGCCAATCATAACAGTACCGTAGGAAAATAAGAGAAACACAAAAACGTACAAAAGAATACTTGGTTCCCACTTGACAGTTAAGGTATACATATTAAGGGAGTTATTTAAGCATTTATGGTTATTCTTAGCATCTATTTATGAACAAACCGTTATATTTAAAGGTTGCCGTTTTGTATATTAACATTTTATAGCCTGTAAATATGTTCATTGTCATGCCATTTCATCTTATTGCCTTCTCATTGAAGTGCATTGCTGCTACCTCTACTTTCATCACTGCTTTAAATTACTTGTGTCTACCTCTATCTCTGCAGTGAGAGATGCCAACAATATTTCCTTAAACTTATGTATGATGTCAATAAAGAAATTCTGATTCTGAAAACATGTCAATAAGACGAATCAATCAAGATGGTGACCACAAAGACAATACACTCAAGGCTTTAAGACTTTAAGACTGTCGCCCACAAACAAAAAGGGGACGTCAGTGACTCCATCCACCTCTGATACCAAAAGAGCTTTATTTGATAGCTTTTCCCCCCTACTAAATAATCATTATGTAAAATGCATTCAGTTGCCTAAAATCTCATCACCATCTCACTCTACACTATCCAATTAATACTTTCATAAATACACTTTTTAACATCTTATTTGAATAATAAATACTAACAGCCTATTCCATGAAATACAAAGTGATTGACACTCGGCCAATCATACGACATTCAATCAAAGAACTCTTGCAGTGATTGGCTTTCCTTTTGTTAGTTTTATATTTATCTTTTTCTTGGCATCTCCTGTAATTTCGTTATCATCCTCCAGGATCCATCCCTTTTTCTTTTATATACATTCACATTACAATTTTTACACCTGTATATGTGACATCTATATAGCATGTCTGATCCTCCTCTGTTGCTGTCCCGAGGTTTCTAACATGTGTCCCCGTTAATTGTGGGGTTAGTTTGGGAGTTTTTCCTGCAAGGATCTAAGGACAGAGGATGTCTTATGCTGTACACACTGTAAAAAACCCTGAGACAAAGGTGTCATTTCTGATACTGGGCTGTATAAATACAATTTGATTGATTTTCTCTCACCAGCATCAAGTCTGAAGCAGCCTGCAGAATATCAGTTACCAGATGCTCCACCTGCTTTGTTGACATGGATCCTCCTCCACCTCTGGATGCTTCATCACGTGGGTCTGGATCTAACATCTGTGTAATGTCAGCACTAGTGGAGGTTTGCAGGCTGAATGAGAGCAGAGACAGCAGGCTGTGGAGGGTTTTCTGCTCCAGACGGTACGAGGCTGGACCACCGGACTCTGAAAACTGCTGCGAGACGTCCTGAACGTGAGCCGCCACTCGTCTAGCACTCGCTATTGTCACCTTAACAGGAATAAGTGATGTATGAGAAACAATTTGTAACTTCCATCATCCATCAGTGTGTATTTGTCAATGAAAGAGACGACCTTCCACCTACCTGACGTGTGACCTCTAAAAGGTTTTTGAGAATGCAGATGTTGTCCTCCATTGATGCCTGAGATTCAGAGGATTACAGGTGAATAAAGTCAGACAATTAAACACCTCCCCTGTAGATTTCACACAATCAGACAATAGGAAATATTATTTTTAAATATGCAAATGATGCATTATCTCATGCAAGCGTTTGGTGAATTAACAAGAAATTTATTTAATTTATTTAAGAACTTTAAGATGCTTTAGAAAAAAAATGTTATACCATTTTATATAACAATACAAATGAACATGTACACAAAAATGAAAACTCAAGATGCAATGAAATAAATAACCTTTGTTGTATTTTGCCTTTAACTTTAAAGAAAGGCCTGTGTGTGAGTGTTTACCTGTCCATTGCTCTCCAGCTCACACACTGTGTGGATGAGTGTGTTGCGTGTGTGTCTCTGCGTGTGTGTGTTGGCCTCGGTGTGCAGGCTGAGTCGGTTCAGGATGCCCGACAGGAGGCTGACGTAGTTACGAACCTCCAAACTGTTGCCAAGATGCACCAGAGCCGACAGGTTCCTCAGACCAGACCCTGAACTGGAGACAAAGAGATATTTATAAAACAACAGCAACACAAACTGTAGGAATAGTTAGACTGCAACGTGTTCAAATGTTCTGCAAAACTCCAGAGATAAAACAAGAGAGTGATGTCAAGAGAGATACCAATTCAAAATTCAAAGCATGTTTTCTAAATGTAATATTCTGCTCCATTACTTTTTTATAGGGGTTAAGCTTCTCAAAAACAACCATTTTTCTGCGCTCAAAAAACGTTTACTCTCCTGCTTGCTGGACACAAATGTACATACATATATTTGTTAAAGAAAGTTGATTTGAAAGAACAAAAAAATATTTTAATCCGATTAATCAATTAGGGATTTTGTTAGGGTGTCATTCAAAGCCTCATTCATTAAAAACGTAATAGTAGCTTTGATTGTAAAGAAAGAGACACTAGGGACAGCTCTAACTCTAAAGGACATATTTAGAACTGATAAATATCTTATTGGCAATTAAAAATATATTATCTTCAGTTTATAAATATATAGAATGGTGGTGCTGGTTCATGAAAAAACAATAAAAAGATTCTTACAGCTCCAGGTCAGGGTCAGGGTGAGAGGAAGAAGAGGAGGAAGAAGAGGAGGAAGAGGAGGCGTCTCTGAAGAAGCTGGGTTGGACTTCCACGGTGACAGGACAGGGTTTAGTGGCCGTCCCATATGAGCTGCTTCTGATCTCTGTGAAAATAGTTACTGCAAGCAACAATACAAAACAATTAAGAAGTTTTACTGTCAGGACATCAGAGAGGTTACACACATTCTGTTGCAGACTGAAAACTCACTTGTTAAGACTGCATCTTTGCTAAACAATTATTAAAAACATCTTCTGTAGCGCTTACAAAGGATTTGGCTTTAAGTGAAGCTGTTGCAGTAGCATTGAATCTGGTCGGGCTTATAGACAGGAAATGTACCTGCAGGATTCTTGCTCTGAGTTTCTTTCTGCATGGTTGTATGCACGTATTGTAAGTCGCTTTGGATATGTCACTAAATGAAATGTAATGTAATATAAAAGATATCAATCAAAGTACATGTGATCGATTTGTACCTTTGTATTGATCAGCGGGGTCACCAGAGGGCAGGCTGAAGTAGTACTGGAAGTCTCTGCCTGCATAGAGCGTCCTCCGAGGCCCATCTCCTACACTGATGCTGTACTCATACAATAAATCCTACACACACACACACACACACACACACACACACACACACACACACACACACACACACACACACACATAAACACGAGTGTAAACAAGTAGGGAACAGCAAAGAAGTCAAAACAGGAGTGATTAAATAGAACTATGCTATAAAGAGAAAGCCTGATACCTTCTATACATATCGGGGGTTATACAGGTGTCTAATTTACTTTGCTTTAAAAAAAACTGTGAAAAAAGAGTGATACATTTGTAGTGAGGTGCGTGTTTCTGTGTAAAAAAAGATTAGACAGGATATACCTGTTTCCCCGAGGTGCAGAAGATGCTGAAGTGTGTGTAGAGCTCCACTCCTCTGATTGGCTGAACCTGGCACGCCACGCCTTTTGGAGCAGGGTTGGTTTTGAAGAACAGCTGAGTCCGGCCAAGTGCACTACTAGGAGATTCTGAGTACGAAAAATAACAATCACACATTTGTATTCAAATCCATCCCTTTAATTTGCATCAAGAAAATAAAAAGTTGGGCTAATAACCGACTGATGATGTCAGTGTTGTTTAAAGACAACAATCAGTTATTATGCATTACATTTACAGGAGAATTCTGCGGTTAAAGTGATATTTTTTTACTTATTTTACTCTGCGTGAAGTCAAAATCACACCTTATTTCAAATTTGGCAGCTTTTTAAGGACTCAGATTCAAAACCAAACATGGCATAGTTTGAGAGTTTGACCAAGGTTAATTGTAATTTTATAATGAGAACTAGCTAACTTTACAGAAGCTCAAAAAATAGCAAAAACAACATACATATATAGTATTGCATAACATATATACATTTAAGCACTTTTAATCACCCATTCATATTCAAGAAAATGTAAAGGCCTTAATTTTCTAACCATCAAATTCAATTCAAAAGTAGTTTGCAGGAACCATGAAATAAAATGGTAAAAATCACTAAAATCAAGAAATAAGCATAATAACATTAAGCCTCATCCATGACTTCCTAGGTATTAAGATTTCTGAACTGCTCATGTGTTAAGAAACAGATCGCAGTCCAAGAACAGGGATAATAATAACACTTTTTGGAAAGAAAAGTCAGTTTTATTGTGAAACCTACTAGCAGTGACCTCCAACATGTATCTGCTCCCAGGGGCCAGGCTGAAGGGTCTCAAGCTGAGCAAAGGGGCGGAAACTCCTGAAATAAAATGGAGAAAGATTTAAGCCTGATACAGGTGGGTAAAGAAGGGGAAATATGTCGGAGAGTTTACTGAAAAACTAACCTGTGTAGGTGTAGGACTCAAAAAGGCCTCGGTCTACGGGATGTCGAGGTAAATCGAGCAGGATTGGCTCCTGTTTCACTACAGAGGGACCGGAGTCTACCAGATTACTCCCTTCCTCTTCATGTGACGCGAGATCAAACTCTGAATCATCTCCTGGACCGAAGCTCTCTCCGTCCACACCTGGCAATTTACATGGGATTAACACAAACCTCCAACACGCACACACACACACACACACACACACACACACACACACACACACACACACACACACACACACACACACACACACACACACACACACACACACACACACACACACAGGGGCGGACTGGGGGGATAAAGTGGCCCGGGGATTAATTGACAGACAGGCCCACTTAATGCGCGGCATGTATCGGCCGGCCAGCGACGAAAGTATGAAAGCCCTTGAGTTGCCTAGGTCAGTGTTTCTCAAACTTTTTCATACCAAGGACCACTTAACCAATAAAAAAACACTCGCGGACCACCTAACTCCACAAATATCCAAAAACACAAATCGCCTGAAAATGGTACAAACAAGTGGCAACATGTGTGATGAAGGTGTTTATCTGGGCTATATCATGCAATCGAAAGTGAAACTTAAGCTCGTTCCATTGTGGAGATATTCCAGCGAGAGTACGAAAAACTTAAAGAAATGTATTTATTTCAAATGTGAAATTGTACCAATATACTCACGGACCACTAGGGGGCCCTCACGGACCACCAGTGGTCCGCGGCCCACACTTTGAGAAGCACTGGCCTAGAGCAAAATAGTTACAGCATATATTTAGTGATTTTAATGTTAACAGATCATTGATGCAATAACATTTGGACCCAATTTGCCTGACTTGACACATGGAATACGCACAGCACCGGCCCACCGGGAAAACCCCCGGTATTCCCAATGGCCAGTCCGCCCCTGCACACACACACACACACACACACACACACACACACACACACACACACACACACACACACACACACACACACACACACACACACACACACACACACACACACACACACACACACACACACACACACACACACACACACACAGGCTGTACAATAGCTGTCCACTGCTGTTAAATGCAGAGGCCAAATTTCACTTTGTGTGCTGTGTGCTCTGCATGTGTGACCATTAAAGAGGGTTTCATCCCTCCGATTCTATCTATCTATTCTATACACACACACACACACACACACACACACACACACACACACACACACACACACACACATACCATGTATACATCACTTCAGGGGACATTACATTGACTTACATGCATTTCCTGGAGACTTATCCTAACCTTAACCAACACATGCCTAACCCTAACCCTTAACCTAACCATTACCCTAACCCTAATCCCACCCTAAAATTAATGATTCCCCTCATGGGGACCTCCAATTTGTCCCCATAAGGGAGGCGAGTCCCCACACGTGACTGTGTAAACAGATTTAGGTCCCCACAAGTATAGTAATGCTAGGCCACACACACACACACACACACACACACACACACACACACACACACACACACACACACACACACACACACACACACACACACACACACACACACACACACACACACACACACACACACACACACACACACACACACACACACACACTGCACCTGAAGGTCTTCCTGCTGAAATCCCCGGGTCTCCTTCCTCTGCCTCCATCACAGGAACATCGTAATCTGGATCTGTTGTAGGATTAGATTTAATGCATAATAAAGTTAAACACTGAACGTATGGACAGACATCGCAGATATTACACATGATTCTCAGCATAGCTAAATTGTAATTTACAAATTATGTATCACTTGTATATAGACTCTTATGGCACTACTTATATTCTATTTTATTGTATTTACTTGTACTATTTTATCCGTTTATTGTGTTGCACTGTTGGAGGAGTCTGGGACCTAAGATTTTCATCGACATAACTACACTGTAACTTTACGAATGACAATAAAATCCTTGAATTTAGCTTCACCTAAACAGAGGTCTGATCAGCAATTATTACTGAAACACTTTTTAATTGTATCATTCAAAGAACAACTCCTTTGATTTTGTGGGACTGGCAGACCAGAGAGGTTTCTCAGAGTTGTGTCTCACCTGGTCGATCTCCCACATCCTCACTCTCCAGGAGAGGAAAAGGAAACTCCCAGTCAGCAGAAGAGTCCGGATCCACTGGGAGTTCAGTGATAACACCGCTCTGGGTAAAGTGGTCTGAATAAAGGACGCCACTGTTGTCAAGAGGCGGGTATTCAGTGGAGGAGTACAAAGGCTTTGGAGGGTCAAACTCCCCCAGAGGGTGATAAAAAGGCTCCTCTCCTGGACACAAAGAGGAACAAGCTGTTAAATAATTCATCCTTTTTACTTTAACCTTGTGCATTACTTCTAATTGATTTCCCCTATTGATGCCCGCGTCTTAAATGCTTTTACGTTGTTGTTTTCTGCGCTGAGAGTATGGCTAACCTGATCCTGATGTTCTCATGTTGAGAGAGGAGATGGGCGAGGGCTCTGTGAAAGAAAACAGGAACGTTTAGTGACATGCTGTTCTTCTCATGATCTGGTTTTAGAAGACATGTAATTATTACACACCGGTCATACCTGACTTCTTTCTGTTGTCGTCAGATAACTCTTCTCCGCTAGTTGTCCCATTTAGATTCAGCTTGTTGTCTATAAATATAGAGACATTCTCCCTCAGAGAGGCAGTAGTGGAGGTATTGACAGCGTGTGTGGGCTGGGTTGAGGTCCTCGGGGAAGAAGGACCCTCCAGGATGTTTGACGGAGCACTGAGATCCACCGTGAAGCAAAACGGGACTAAAATAGAAAAGAAAAGAGGGTTTATTTGACTTGCAAATTATATTTCTGCTGCTCACATGTCCCAATGCTTCATATCTTACCTTCTATGGCCGGTTTGGATGATGCATTGACTAAGAACAGGCTCCAGGTGTACTGGATGTTTTTTGTGGAAGTATCACAGCCTTCACACACAGCGCTGACGGAGAAAGGCTGATCCCAGTTCAGCTTCTCTTCATGGCACTGAGGGCAGGAAACTGGCACTGTCCTGGGTGGAAACAATCAGAAAAAATACCAGATATTTATAAAATCAGAATCAGAATACCTTTATTAGTCCCACAGAGGGGACATTTACATTGTTACAAAGAGCCAAAGACAGCTTAATGCTACCTAAGAAGCATGCATACAAAAATATGAAATATACAAAAATAATAATAAAAATTACACAATTTACAAAATACACATATTTAGCAGCCAGGTATATATTGCACAGTTATTAATGACATATATATATATTTATAAAACGGACAAGTCAAATCAAGCAATCTGATTGGTTCTTAGCCGTGATATAATGAGCGTATATCACGGGTAGAATTGTAGTTACTTACTTGTAGTTACTTTTTACACAACGGTCCAGACATAGACATCAAACAGGAAAACATATTCAGTTGCCAGTTATTTGGCAGCTAAGGGGGTTAGTTGCCAAGCTTCGCGTCGGGCCGAACCACGCCCCTTAGCTGTGATATAATGAGCATATACCACGGCCTGTCGTGAGCTATTGCTTAAATATATATATATATATTGCACATAGTTGGTATTTAACAACAAGGGGTGTTTTAGTCTGTGTTGTGTGTGTTCTAAAAATGTTCTATACACTTTTTTAAGACTCTTACCCGATGACATTTGGTGTGAACGTGAGGAAGACCTCTGATGAAGCCGAGCGCTCGCCGCTGTGCACGGTGAGCGTGAACTGGAACTGGTCAAAGTTGTGTTTTAGGAAACCAGAAGGAAATACGAGCACTGAGGAGGAAGTGGGAACATCGTCATGGAAACAGGAGCTGGGGAGGGAGCTGACTGGTTTACATGTCCAACTGAAGCTGTGGAGAAAAAACGAGACACTGTGTTTATAAAGTATGAAGACTTTTGGTGTTTTATCATCCTGTTTTATGTCTTTCAGGGACACATCAAAGCTTTAAGGTCCGCTATTATACTGTTTTTCATCAATATATCACAGGTCTCAGATACAAAACATGTCTCTGAAGTGTTTGGCTCCAAACACCAAACAGATCATTGCAGCATTACCCATAATCCCCTCTGTTTCAGCCCTGTTTCAAAAGTGCTGATTCTGTGTCTGTTACTTTAGATGAAAATAAGGAGCCCCTCCCCACGCCCCTCTGAGACAAGAGACATGAAGAGAGAAGAGGGGACACATGTTGATGTAGAAGAGACATGGAGAAGAGGGGACACATGTTGATGTAGAAGAGACATGAAGAAGAGGGGACACATGTTGATGTAGAAGAGACATGAAGAAGAGGGGACACATGTTGATGTAGAAGAGACATGAAGAAGAGGGGACACATGTTGATGTAGAAGAGACATGGAGAAGAGAGGACACATGTTGATGTAGATGAGACATGGAGAAGAGGGGACACATGTTGATGTAGAAGAGACATGGAGAAGAGGGGACACATGTTGATGTAGAAGAGACATGAAGAAGAGGGGACACATGTTGATGTAGAAGAGACATGAAGAAGAGAGGACACATGTTGATGTAGAAGAGACATGGAGAAGAGGGGACACATGTTGATGTAGAAGAGACATGGAGAAGAGGGGACACATGTTGATGTAGAAGAGACATGAAGAAGAGGGGACACATGTTGATGTAGAAGAGACATGAAGAAGAGAGGACACATGTTGATGTAGAAGAGACATGGAGAAGAGGGGACACATGTTGATGTAGAAGAGACATGGAGAAGAGGGGACACATGTTGATGTAGAAGAGACATGGAGAAGAGGGGACACATGTTGATGTAGAAGAGACATGAACAAGTGGATTTTGCATAATAGGTGACCTTTAAAGTTGACCTCTCTGTTTCTGTACCTGACGGGGTTCATGGGGAAGTCTGGGTCGTGAGATTTCGTGCCATCCAGCATCACCACGGTGTTGTTCCTGTTGTTGATGAAGATGTTGGTGCCGCCCTGGATGAAGGCCACAGGAGGGCTCGGCATCACCTGCACCTTCACGCTGTAGTTACTGTACACCACACTGCCAACCACCTGGACCTGCAGGGCAATGACAGCATCTCAATTCTGTAAATTCAGGCAAATCAGTCTGATATAAAAGTACGTTTCCATACAGAAATTCTGCATTCTCAAATATGTTTTGCTGAATTATCATTTTATTCTGGATCAAGGTCGTAGTTTTACACACATTATTTTTGCATTAAAGTCAAACTGCTTGGTTAGGTTTAGGAGAACACCTTAGTTTTGGTTTGAACAAAATAAACGTGTTACTTAATATGTGTGCGTTTTAAGTCTGTCTAACTTATAAGTACTTTATGGAGGTTAATTCATTTGATCGACCCATCCATCCAAATGTCCTCCCTGTGAAGACCTTGGATGAAAATGTATTTGGTTACAAGTAAAAAACAAATATATCTGGGAAATTGCGATTTTTGTTATATCGGAACATACATTTCTGGAGACCTTTGAAGAGAGAGACATCAGGGGTCACAGGTCTCAGTTTAAATGTCAGTGTGCGACAGTTTTCCCCGTTACTTACCCTGGCTATAGCAGTGTAAGTGTCGTAGTTCAGCAGGAGGCTGGGCAGTTTGAGTTTCTGTCTTTGCGTGTCTACGAGAGGCAGAGAGAAAACCCGTCCTGCAGAGTCCAACAAGCTCCAGGTGTAGTGAAGGCCTCTGGAAATGTCACAGTCTATCTCCGTCTCATAGGTCACTCCCAGACGGATGACCTCATGTCTCCGCACCTTTAAGAGAGAGGATATCCTCAATTATCTGTTTATCTTTACTGTTAGAAAAATCTCCCTCGTCCCCGGCTTGAGCTTCAATAATCAGGATCCATGTATTTCAGATCCTCTCCAGAATGGAAGGAGTCATCACATACAGAGCATCAACTAGTTCCTGAACAGTGTCCTTCACATGCTGATATCCAAGAGAGGGAGTTACACAGTCACAAGATGGAGGAATAGAAAGCAGTATTCAATGTTTACTTCAGATTAGCTCCACGTCAGAAATGAGCATGCTTGTCATATGTCTATCAGAGGCTGAATCATCATGTTAATCTCATAGCTATCATATGCCTCAAACAGTCCTGATGCTCTTCTAGGTAATCATACATCCTGTCATGTTCACAGCTACAGTTGGGATACCTTTGTTATCATGTTACTCTGATATTGGACGAGAACATTCAGTATTTTCCCAACATTTACCATAGTACACACAGGTTATATTACTGCTGGTGAGATGTACCTGTAGTTTTAGAGGTCCCATGTTTTTCAGTGGAGGAGGCTGACAGGGCCGGTCCACAACAAAGATGTGAGCGCTGAGAGAGGCAGAGCTGACCAGATTAAACACTGTCACCTCCACCCTGAACTCTCCTGTCCTGAGAGAGAGAGGACAAACACACTGTCAATGTCCACACGCAATAATACACACTGTTCAGAGGATTGATCATTACAGGTATTTGAAAACAAGGAGGTCAACAATCCCAATTGAATCTGAAATAAAACTCTGCACTCCTTTATCGAGTTTAAACGAGATTGAGGTGAGAAAACTACTTAAGCCCAGAGAGGCATGGAAGATCCAATTTCTAAGTCTGATTTAATGTGTATTCACGACTGTAGAAGAAGTGAAACAACTTTTCCGGTGAAGATTTACTTTCCTACTTTTGATACATGCGCTTATGTAACAACGGTATGCTATTGCAAAAAACTAATAAAGGAGCATTAAAAAGGTGAAACTAAAGGATGATTATTCCAAATTATTATTTTTCATCTGCAAAGAGACTCAAATGTATTACAAATAAATGTACATTTAAAAGAAAAACAGTGATGTTACATTACTTGCTTACACATCCTATTTTGTAGCTTGTGTTTAGAGCGCATGGGTACATTGAAACTCAAGAAAATTATAAATACATTCAAGAAAAACATAAAAGCTTTTATTCCATGGGGGGGGGCTTTCAAAATTAGGATATTTTTTACGAGCCGTTTTCACATTTAAGAGTAATTTAAGAAATCATCCCAATAAATGCTTACACCTGTTTGAAAGAAGGGACTTTCAACCTTAGGTCATAAACACAGAAAAGGTTTCAGTTATCTGCCTCCAGAGGTGGTCACATTGTAAAATACCAATATTTCTGTTAAAGTTCAACCAGAATCAGAAACAGGTTTATTACCAGGTAGGTTGAGACGTACGAGGAATTTGACTTGATGTCGTGGGGCATACATAAAAGCAAAACAAAAATGAAAAAACACAGATAGAGAACTATTTTAAGAAAACTATAATTAAAAATAATAAAAAATATAGTAAAATAAAATATAGCAGTATTTACAATGCAATAGAATGGAATAAAATATGTGCAGTAAAAATAAAAAAACACAGATATGGTGTACATTGTGTGCATTATGTAGAACAAGGAAGCTAAATACATTTAAATAACATGAGTTGATCTGACCTGTGGAAGACGTGCTGCCCAAATTAGTATATTTTTTACAAGCTGTTATCTAAGAGTAATTTAAGAAATCATCCCAATAAATGTGTACACCTATTTGAAAGAAGGGAGTTTGAAAGAAGGGACTTTCAACCGTCATAAACACAGAAACGGTTCAGTTCAGACTAAGAATATCAGTCTCCAGAATATAAAGGTGGTCACATTGTGAGATACCTTATATGCCTGTTAACAATAAAACTCATTAATATTGAATAACATGAGATGATCTGACCTGTGGAAGATGTGCTGCCCTGTTTTTCAATCTTACCCTGTTGCTGTTTGAACTACTGAATTTCCCTATGGGGATTAATAAAGGTCCATCTTCATTTATCTTATCTTAATCTGACCTGTGGAAGACGTGCTGCTCGGTGCTGAGTCCCGGCCGGGAGGATCCGTCTCCAAAGCTCCAGAGGAAGGAGACGTCTGTCCCCGCAGTGACCCGGCAGCTGAGCCTCAGCGCCTGGTTCTGCAGGACGGAGGACGGGTGGAGCAGCCGGTTGAGCCGCACCGCGCTCTGCACCTCCAGAGGGAAAACATCCGAGGAGACGGAGGAACGGCCACTCCACAGGACCACAAACACATCATACCTGCATTAAAACAAGACCACAAACACATCATACCTATGTTAAAACAGGACCACAAACACATCATACCTGCATTAAAACAAGACCACAAACACATCATACCTGCATTAAAACAAGACCACAAACACATCATACCTGCATTAAAACAGGACCACAAACACATCATACCTGCATTAAAACAAGACCACAAACACATCATACCTGCATTAAAACAAGACCACAAACCCATCATACCTGCATTAAAACAGGACCACAAACACATCATACCTGCATTAAAACAGGACCACAAACACATCGTACCTGCATTAAAACAAGACCACAAACACATCATACCTGCATTAAATCAAGACCACAAACCCATCATACCTGCATTAAAACAGGACCACAAACACATCATACCTGCATTAAAACAAGACCACAAACACATCATACCTGCATTAAAACAAGACCACAAACCCATCATACCTGCATTAAAACAGGACCACAAACCCATCATACCTGCATTAAAACAGGACCACAAACACATCATACCTGCATTAAAACAGGACCACAAACACATCGTACCTGCATTCAAACAGGACCACAAACACATCATACCTACATTAAAACAAGACCACAAACACATCATACCTGCATTAAAACAGGACCACAAACACATCATACCTGCATTAAAACAGGACCTCAAACACATCATACCTGCATTAAAACAAGACCTCAAACACATCATACCTGCATTAAAACAAGACCACAAACACATCATACCTGCTTTCAAACAGGACCACAAACACATCATACCTGCTTTCAAACAGGACCACAAACCCATCATACCTGCATTAAAACAGGACCACAAACACATCATACCTGCATTAAAACAGGACCTCAAACACATCATACCTGCTTTCAAACAGGACCACAAACACATCATACCTGCATTAAAACAGGACCACAAACACATCATACCTGCATTAAAACAGGACCACAAACACATCATACCTGCATTAAAACAGGACCACAAACACATCATACCTGCATTAAAACAAGACCTCAAACACATCATACCTGCATTAAAACAAGACCTCAAACACATCATACCTGCATTAAAACAGGACCTCAAACACATCATACCTGCATTAAAACAGGACCACAAACACATCATACCTGCATTAAAACAAGACCACAAACACATCATACCTGCATTAAAACAGGACCACAAACACATCATACCTGCATTAAAACAAGACCACAAACACATCATACCTGCATTAAAACAGGACCACAAACACATCATACCTGCATTAAAACAGGACCACAAACACATCATACCTGCATTAAAACAAGACCACAAACACATCATACCTGCATTAAAACAGGACCACAAACACATCGTACCTGCATTAAAACAGGACCACAAACACATCGTACCTGCATTAAAACAGGACCACAAACACATCATACCTGCATTAAAACAGGACCACAAACACATCATACCTGCATTAAAACAGGACCACAAACACATCATACCTGCATTAAAACAAGACCACAAACACATCATACCTGCATTAAAACAGGACCACAAACACATCGTACCTGCATTAAAACAGGACCACAAACACATCATACCTGCATTAAAACAGGACCACAAACACATCATACCTGCATTAAAGGGAGAGGGGTGAAAGAATGTTACTTATAGCTTGTATTCTGGTAAAGGGGCTATTCGGGGAAATATCTGTCTATGTTAGTTGTTTTGTTTTAATATTTTTATTTGTTTTATTGTATTTTTATTTATTTTAGTTGTTTTTTTATTGTGTTTATTTTTACTTTATTTTGGTTTGCTTTTCAAACAGTCACAAACCAATGCAAACTTAAACTGACTCTAGACTAAAGCCATCTTATTATGCTCACCCTTTTCACACTAATAATAGTACAGAATTATTATTAAATGTATACACTGAAAATGAATGAAACATATTAATAATAATATATAATAATATTAATATACACACTTGTCTTCATACCTTCAGTTGTATGTAAATCATCTTAATTAAATATTGTTTTAAAGCTATTTTCTTTCCTTTATTCTGGTTCACAGATGATCCCAGATTATTTGTAATGCATCAAACGTAGCCCAGTTATAGAGACAAAAAGCATGTATACTGTATTTTAAATGCTTGATCTGTACCTGCCAGGTGTGCGGTATCTCTTGGTGACGTTCCTGGAGGCGGTCCTCTCTGACGTCGAGTCTCCAAAGATCCAGAGCAGCTGTGCAGGATCCGCTGCTTCAGAAACAGCCAGGAGGGTCACGTCTGTGTGTGTGGGATACACTCTCTGTGCTGCATGGATCTGCACTGTGAGGGGGGGGGTCACGTACATCGCATGGTCATTATAGATATACAGGTAAGTACCACTTGAAAAAGGTAAAGAATTATGTTGTGAAAATGTAAAAATGTGACTCTAAACAGAGAAATGATGGAGAAGGTGGACCAGAAAACACGGCTTTACTATCAAATATAGATTAAATAAAAAAATGTCTTTCTTTCTTTATGTTTGTTCATTTTGAAGCCACCGTTTTATTTGACAGTGTTAAAAAAAGCAAGAACTAAAATGCATATAACTCCCTAAAGTTAACACACATTGCATGTTCATTGTAGATATACATTAAGGTACCATACCTTATAAACACTTGAAAAACGTAAATAATTATGTTGTGAAAACATAACAAATTTAAATTATTAAATTAAATAACACGTTTCATTTTTGTATTTATATGTTTGGTCATTTTGAAGCCACCGTTTTATTTGACAGTGTTCAAAAAAGCAAGAACTAAACTACATAATAACTCCCTAAAGTTAACCTGCATAAAAACATTATTCGTATTATTATTTTCTTATGTATTCATTAATTTAGTTAATTATATGATAACATTTTAATTGTATTTATTTTTATATTTTTTGTGCTGGGATGTCTTTTGGTCATCTCACAGCTCTGTTACCTTTGTGCTTCTTGCCTGTACTAAATTAGAACATGTAATAATGATAATAAGTGTATTTAGTTTAGCACCTTTCGCAGAAATAGAAGTTAAACATTATGTTCAAATGTCCTGATATTTTCTTCTCTGCATGTTAATGTAATTGTTTCCCATAAATCTCACTAACAAACACATTCTGAATAAAATAGTGAACAATGATCTCAAAAGATAATAATTATTAATATAGAATGAGATATAGAGCAGTTATTCTGTATAGCACCATTGTTCATGTTTATAATTATACAATTAAAAAGTGTCCATTATATCACACTGATCATGTTTAACCGCATCAGTGCTTCTGCAGTTAAAATCTAACTATAATAGAACATATAAAACTTAATGTAATTATTTGTCTAGATTGCAGAGAATGTGATTTGTTTGTAAAAACATTTAACTTTTTTAAGTTATAATTTCTTAAATGTATAAAACAAAACAATGAAGCAGGGTCATTCGTGAGAACGTCTGAACTCTTTGTAATAATTATATTAATAATTACATATAATAAAATATAATGTGTCATGCGATTAAAATAATGATAAATACTATGATTAATGTATTTTTAGACAATTACAAACAAAGCCATAGCAAATGAATATTAAGGAAATGACGGATGATGTCAAAATAAACCTTTTTACTTAAAGTACATGAGAAAATGTTTTTATTATTTTTTCATAGTCAGACAGTTTTTACAGTATAAGTCCTGCTTGTGCAAATTAAAGAGTCATATTCCCAAGAACATGATGAGTAGCAGCAGCTGACCTGTGGGCTGGGTGGGGGGTCCAGCCAGGTTTCCAGAAACTTCCACAACAAAACTCTTCCCAGCATGCACTCTGTCTGCAGGTGTCGAGCGACGGACACGGTGCTGGAACGGTCCCTCAGTCCTGTAGAGAGCAACATGTCCGTCTCCTCCAACAGGGAGAGAGAGGAGACTGGGAATAAAAGAAAAAGATTCACAGTTAAAATATCCACTTGCTTTTATTTAGAAAGTCCACATATTTATTATATTTGATTACAATAAGCAGTGTTTTATTCCACTATCTATTGCACTGAATATATTTCTTTATGTCTTATGTATATTGTATTTTTCACTGTTGGAGCAGCCATGGATTTTCATTGCCAACAACCATGCTGTAGCTGTTGTGCCATGACAAATAAGCCTTTAAATACAAAAAATATTTCTCCACATGCCTAAAACTCTTATGAATGTTCGTAACTTTGATGGCAGTAAAGAGATATTAACTCGTATGAAACAGACACAAAGGAGCCTTGTTAAAAAGTAAAGATCTGCAGTCTGCCTCACCTTCCTCTTCCTCCTCTGACTTCCTTTGTCCCTTCATCTGCAGAGGTGTTGAAACACTCGCTGAACAACAGTCCATGTTGCTCGTTGCCACAGTAACAAGCCTCTGAGGTCAACGCTGCAACCTGGTACCTTCAGGAACAAAAACTGAGAGTCAGTTAAATACTTTCTAAATGCTGTGCATGTATCCAACTCAGAAACACACACAACCAAGTGTGGTTTCAGAAGGAGGGGGCTTATACCTGCTGGAAATATAAGATGTGTTAAATATGGCTATGCATCTGTTCTGTTACTAGGCTCAAGGCATACATTTCAATTGTTGGTCATTTAAACAATTACATTTTAAGCTTCTTGAAGTCATTCTCAGCTTTTTTTTCTTCATGGAAAAAAACATGGAGGAAAAAAATGGACCATATTATAGGCTGCAATTATCCAATTTAAATATATATTTTTTTGTCTGTTGTATGCATAATAAGAGAGAACTAATACAACGACTAATGTCACCATCTAAATAGTACTGGTCCCAATGGGAATCATTACAACAACAAAAAATGTCTTGTAATTTTTCACAAAAATACATACACACGTTTAGCTGAAATGCGACGGACAACCATAGTGGTCTCCACGTGTGTGTCCCACACTCACCCTTCATCCAGGCAGCGCACAGAGCAGGTTACCGGGTTAAGGTCACGGCCACCACTGGGTGCAAACAGGCTGCTGCTGCTGCTGGGGGTGAAGCACCCCATGAACAAGGCTGAACTCCCGGGATTTGGTGCCTGAGCTGCAGCGGACCAGCGAGGGAAGTCCAGTGAAAGGAGCGATAAAACAAAAGCTAAGAACATGTCTGATCCGGACAGAAGGCCGCAGGAGGAGCAGGAGCTCAGGAGGAGAGCAGCGGGACGCACAGACTGAGAGGAGAGGAGGAGAGGAAGAGGAGGAGGAGAGGAAGAGGAGGAGAGGTGCACGGACTGTGCGCAGGTGAGAACAGAGAACACTGTATGCTAATGAAAGGACCAGAAAGAGTGTGACAGGAAGCTGGCATCAAAAACTCCTTCAAATGACGCGCAATAATGTGCTGCAAAAAAGTAGTCCTGCAAAAAGTAGTCCTATATGCAAAGTTACTTGTGCGTATTTTGTCTTTACTCGTGCATAAATAAATACAAAATAAATGTGCATATGCCCAAACCATTATTCTCCTTTTTTATCCAGTTTTGGTGACATGTGTTGTCTCTTAAATTCTCCATTTCGTGAAGAAGAAAAAACACAATAGGCCTACATAAATACCAATAAGGAGTAGGCTATTATCTGTTGTACACAGCACAACACATAGGCTACAGGGACATGTAGATTCTGCATTCAACACATACTAATGTAGGATCTGTGGGAAATGCTACTTATAGGGAAAAGTAAATGCCTTTACACGCGATGTATCCATAAAAACGGGAACCTGTGTTGATAAAAACGGAATATATATTTCATTTTATATTATGTCTCTATCCGTAATACACATTTATAATATAATAGTATTTTACCGTTTTATTTGAGAAACTGTAAACAGGACAGTGACCTGCTGCGCGTTCACATGTTTCAGGTAGACCTAAAATATATAATATTTTTCACGAAGCCCATTTGGAGCCCGTTGGAAAACGTTAGGGACAGAGACTGATCATGAACAAAACTACATCTGGAGTCTTCATATTGTATTATATTAAGATGAATGTGGTGCTGGAGTAGTCTATTCTCTTTAAGGGGAAACATCTTGAACAAAATGAGCTGCAGTGGAAAATATGGATCTTTTTCACCATTTCCTTTAAGTCCGAAATATATTTTTTCTGACGAGTGAAAGGGCAATGGGATGAAATATAAAGCAACCAAGCTTCAGCTGTGTGTATGAGTGTCTTAAATCGTCCCTGTGTTCCTTTACTAGTCGCCACTTATTTGCTTTTTTAGATAAATCTTCAAGGCTGTCTCTTTGAAACTGGAGATATAATTACATCTCACAAACATGGATGTTTTTTTCCACTTGTTTAGGTAAGAGTGTCAGCTCCAGCTCTTGATATGTGTTGCAGTGTGTAGAGAGAAATGCCACAACACATCGAAACCAGTGAAAGTGTCTCCTCTGAGTGCCCTGTTAGCTCTTTAGTGGAAGCTCACTCACCGTGCAGCTAACTCCACCGCTCCACCTTAAAACATCTCTTCCGGGTTCCAGACCTCCCCTTTAAGAGAGTTTTCCCACTCTCTTTACAGCCAGCAGAGGGCGCTGTCAGACTGCAGAACCTCCACGAGCTGCCTGCAGCACAGAGGGGCACAGCGGGGGGAATCAACACATTTTCTCTGTCCATTTTTTATCCGGAATACGCGCATATTTTTGGCGAATTCGTTTCGTCTCTCCACGCAGGGACTGTTAGACGTTTTTTACACCATATACTCACCCACAAAACACAATATGTGACCAGAGAAACACAACAAATGGTATTTGTTTTCCAAAAAAACATTCAATACCATGATTTTATTGATGATTTATTATTTGTTCAATTAGCTATTTGAACACAAAGCTGTTATAGAAAGCAGGAATAGGAGTGAATCCTGTTTGACGGCCATATAGGACATATTACATTTAAACCATTAATTAATTTGAAGTTAATACATAATGTTTTATTTTCTGCACGACCCACCGGAGCCCATTGAAGCCTCCCCCCTCCCCTGGATGTTCCCAGAGCACACTGGAGCATTTTCTATCCGAACACTAAACATGAATATGTGGCGCTGCCGTCGTGACGCTGCGTAAAACCCTCCCCGGGCCTTTGAGCTCCTATCACCGGCTTCATTCGTTAAAGGAGTGCCGTGTTTTCACCGTGTGTGCGCCATGACACAATAAACTAATGATTAAATCAACGAAATGTTTGAAAAGAAGCTGCTGGATGAGCGTTACGGTGCCGCTGCGTAACGGAGAGTCGTTGTGTAAACTCCGGCAGTCTGCGCCACTACCGAGGACACCGACTCCGGTACACTGTGAAGGCGCTTTAGGTGGCATAAAAATAGATATTATATAATAAATACCTAGAGTCATAAGGGGGTGTTATAAAAGTAGGGACTAAGTGGAGGAAAAGCAGCACATCTAATCAGTTTGGTTTACATTTTAGTAATTTTCTAAGCGTTTTTTTCTTTGGAAAGGAAAATGAAAGAAGGGTTTGGACAACATTTTGACTTGTAAAATAGGTAGATTAAACTGAATAAATAAATAAGTTGCTCATGTGATCCGCGGATGGAGCTCATGTGACCCATCTTTTTATACCACATGCAGAGCAAAGTTATACTCAGCTGAGAATAAATTATTTTCTAACTATTTTTTTCCTGTCTTCTGGAGGAATTGTAACCCCAAACTCGAGGTTCTTGAGCTTTCTTGCGGAAGTCTTTCTACACATTGAAATATATGAAGTATACCTTCATTTTTAAAGATGAAAAGGTCGGCTCTCCCTCAACTACATCAAATTCTCCATACAGTTGCTAGAATATGTTCTCTTTTACATTTATTTTAGTCTTTATGAGGCAGTGGTTTGGTGAACATGTTCCAATATATTTGTATTTTCCGAGAGTCAAAAATAAATACAGCACACATGAATCCTTCTGACAAACCCAAGCTTACTTTACAGGGATGAACATATAATTGATCTCAATTTAAATCATGAGTGTATCGTTTTTGATGCTAAAAAGCTCCATGTTTGATCTTCATTGTGCTCTAAGTAAAGCTTTCTTAATGTGAGTATATACTGACTCCTCTCATTTCACTTTGTGATATTTTTTAGAGGCTAAAGGCTGCATCATGTTGCCATAACACCATTGACTCAAGAGTGGGCAGTCATGGCAGCGAGTTTAACCTCAATCCTCAATAAATAAATAAAACAAAAATGATAGAGGAAATTAAAACGTGCTTTTCTTAAAAGGCTGTTTCCAAATATATTAGTTCCATGTATAAATTGTTGTCTAAACAGCTAGTTCAGTTTTATTAACCTCCTCATATTTTTCGGTATACTAGCATTGCACTAGGCTACATTTTTTATTTTGTGTGATATGCATAAATATATATTTCATCTGAACATTTGATGGACACCTAATGGAAGATATTAAACCCTATGTCCAATGATGCTTCATGTTAGTTAATAAATTAATCAATTTATCATCCAATCAGCTGCATTAAGTGGACAAAAGCTCTTCAGCAGTGTGTGTGTGTGTGTGTGTGTGTGTGTGTGTGTGTGTGTGTGTGTGTGTGTGTGTGTGTGTGTGTGTGTGTGTGTGTGTGTGTGTGTGTGTGTGTGTGTGTGTGTGTGTGTGTGTGTGTGTGTGTGTGTGTGTGTGTGTGTGTGTGCGTGTGCGTGCGTGTGCGTGCGTGTGCGTGTGTCCAACCCCTCTACCTGAGTCTTTGTGCACAGAGCTTGTTAGAGAGACTTAATTTGGCCCTTGTTCAATGCAAGAGTCCACGAAGGAGGCCTGGAAAATACAAGGTAAATGTGGAGAGTCATTATAAACCAGTCTTAGCAGAATTAAAGTCAGTGAAGAAAAGTGAAAATAACCAAAGAATTGTGACATGTTATTTAGTAATGGGTAATTAGCAGCAGGTCAATAAGCACATGCATTGATGGGTATTAACACACATTATATCCTATAACTTAACTAAAGCAGGACAGGCTTTTAATAAAGTTTGAGTCCTCTTTTCTTTAACCTTGAAGTGAAACATCCTTATTTAAAAGCTGTGTTGACAGCCTCAGTCGCTGGGGGGAGGAGAGGCAGCTCTGCAGGCTCACATTTCACTCCAAACAGCCTCAATCAGGCCAAATTATTAACGAGGATCCACTTTAACATGCAGATCTTATCAGAGCCGGATCACCAGGGGCTATCTGCTGTGTGGGACAACAACGTCTGCAGAGGGAAAATCTGTTTCATGGGATATTATGCAACATATAGCACGACAACAGTGGAACAACAAGAACACATGTATGTTGTAAAGGAACACGAGGAAATAAACACAACAATATCAGAATAATAATAACACATCTACAAAATATGATTAGGTCACTATAAACCAGTATGGAACATTCACTCAAGTTTTGTACTTTAATACAAATGTAAGCTACTTGTAATACTTTTTACTTCATACACATTTCAAGGGGAAGTGTTGTAAATGTTTTACTTCCCTTCATGTATTTTAGGACTTTAGCTGCTACTAACTTTTCAGATTCAGATTCAAAAACAAAATACAGTGCCTCTTTATAAGGTAAATTAAACCACCCAATAGTACAAAACTGCATAGAATTCTGTACGTGTTTTTTTTACTACAATTATAATAATAACTATATATTTTAATGCAAGCGCCCATTGGTAATATTTCAACTTTTATATTTTAAGCAGAATGTACTTACATTTTGCATGCAGGACTTTTGCATTATAGTATACTTTTCTTAAGTATACATTCTCAATACTTTTAATAATATAATATAAACTAAAAAGCAAGCATATAGACATGTGAAAATACACTCTTAACAGACTTACATTAAGTGCATTCAACTATGAAGATACAAACCTGAATATAGCAAGAATCCTGCAAGTAAATCAGCTTCAAATAAGCAAAATAATAAGTGCTGCATAAAGAAGTGAGAATTGTTTTTATTTGTATTTACTGCCCAAGGTGCAATCAGAACACAATTTAAAATAACTTCAAAGTGATAGATTGTGGCCTTAATAAAGAGTTGTTTACCACTCTTCTGGCTCTCCCCTTTGTCCCACATCCTGAATACCTGAAACGTGTCTGAAACATTATCTGGTGAAGGCCCAGACAACCCCCCCAAAAAAGAGTCCTATTATATTTCTCACACACCCAATTTAAGGAACTCAACTTAAAGAGGAGAAGAAAGGGAAGCTCATCCGCTCAAATTTGGTTTTGACACATCTCGTCTCCTGCCTGCGTGCCCTGCAGCAAGGCAATATCTCTGAGTGATGTTTGACGTTGAACTGAGGAGAGAAAATGAATGCATGAGAACACCGTTAGAACATTTAAAATATATGATTTTTCATCATATAAGCTTGATTATTACTATTTTATGTGTTAATAATTGTAGTTATATGGGTTTTTGATGTCCCTGTGTCAGCGGTGGAGGAGGTTCCCCTGTCTTTTATCCCCAAATCCACCCTGGGCTCCGGGTCCTAACTCCCTGGTATGAGGGGCCAAAGGTCACCGCTGCTTGTGGCCCTATTCAAATCCCTCTGTAGTGTGTAATGTCCTCAACTGATCTGTGGCTTTATAAAGGGAACCAGTGTCCAGATATTAGTTTTCAGGCCGTGGAACATTTCAATCAGCTGAAATAAAGGATGAGCACACAGGAGATTTATTCTGTCCTCTCTGGTTGTTTTCTAAAGGACGGCATTTAAAGCAGCTTAGACTCAAATAGACGTTAAAATGTGCATACAAGGGTCATTTGAGTTTCATTCCTAAGAGTTGTTTTTCCACTTTTTTTATGGAAATGAAAAATACCCTTCTATGGAAAGTTCTTCAACATATTTTGGATGAACATCTCAATTCAATTCAATTCAAAACCTTTATTTATACAGATAAAACCCATTGAGATCATAGACCTCTTTTACAATGGTGACCTGCTTCAATTAGTTCCAAACATTAATACAAACATGACAGAAAACAAAGGACATTATATGATACTACAGTTTGTATACTAGTAGCATTTACAGACACCAATATTTTCTGATTGTATAGCGTCTATCCTAGCTAAGTAGGATAAACTATTTCAGAGCAAATGCATCGTGAAAATTTGGTTCTATGGCAGCTATCAAATAGTGGATTCATCTGAAGATGTGCCGTGTGTGTGTGTGTGTGTGTGTGTGTGTGTGTGTGTGTGTGTGTGTGTGTGTGTGTGTGTGTGTGTGTGTGTGTGTGTGTGTGTGTGTGTGTGTGTGTGATTAATTTAAAGGCAAAGAGTGCATTTGTATTTCTATTAGAAAATGCATTTTTAAATAGTGCTCCTCCTTACTAAGGACAGCTTGATTTAAATGATGCTTGTTGTAAAGAAAATAATGAAATGAATTCATTGTGAAAATAATTTAGGATGGTAATAATAATGGGTTAAGGTTGGCTGTTGAAACATGCTCATACATGCACATGTTCAGTCATTCATGTAATGGGATTATGGTATTTGAAGAAGAAAAAAGAGAACGAAAATGTATTTTAAAATGTGACTTTGTGTCAAATGTGGGTCACTAAAATATAAAACCACATCCATGGATATTTGTTTGGTTTAATTTCATGGAGCTGACGGTTTGAGTTGTGGATGCGTATTTAACTAAAGACAACATTCATCTACTTTGAAATAAACCTAAGTCTGTTTTAGTGCAGTTTTTCCATCTTTAATAAAACACCTTTTTGCACAAATCACCTACTAATACTGGAGCCTAAATGACCTTCTCATGTAAGAAATATGTTGAATATTTCATAAGGGAATAAAGCTCTGATGTCTTTAACACAACGTGGACCAACAGGAGACAGGGCGTATTGCAGTTTGACATCAGAAACTATTAATACTGAACACATGCAGGACAGCAGCCTGAATGAGAGGAGGGATAACCTCCCGGAGCTTCTGGTTCCTCCTCCCGGAGCTTCTGGTTCCTCCACCCAGTGCTTCTGGTTCCTCCACCCGGTGCTTCTGGTTCCTCCACCCAGTGCTTCTAGTTCCTCCACCCGGAGCTTCTGGTTCCTCCACCCAGTGCTTCTGGTTCCTCCACCCAGTGCTTCTGGTTCCTCCACCCGGTGCTTCTGGTTCCTCCACCCAGTGCTTCTGGTTCCTCCACCCAGTGCTTCTGGTTCCTCCACCCGGTGCTTCTGGTTCCTCCACCCAGTGCTTCTGGTTCCTCCACCCGGTGCTTCTGGTTCCTCCACCCAGTGCTTCTGGTTCCTCCACCCAGTGCTTCTGGTTCCGGTGCTTCTGGTTCCTCCACCCGGTGCACCCGGAGCTTCTGGTTCCTCCTCCCGGAGCTTCTGGTTCCTCCACCCGGCTCAGAGCCTCTGTGCCCGGCCTGCAGCGGGCTTGTTGATCAATGATTGAATTGTATGTTGTGAGTTGCTGCAGCCTGCATGCTGCATTCAACATTAGGCTACATCTGGCTCTGTCCGGCCCACAGAAAAGCCTTTACAAATGGAGTTGAGCTCCATGACCGAGTAGAAGCCCTCTGGTGCTCGCTGGTTTTCCCCTTCCTCTTCCTCCTCCTCCTCTTCCTCCTCCTCCTCTTCCTCCTCCTCTTCCTCCTCCTCCTGCTCCCCCACCAGACATCAGCTCCCTGGGTCTGATAAACGTGTTTTAAGCTCTGTGGGGTCACTAATTAACGCTAGATCCTTTGAATTTAATTGCAGGCTGGGAAATATCACGTCAGTAAACGTATCCTCACCACGTGATCAGACATTTTAATTTGAAGGGTGTAAAAATGTATGAATAATACAAAATAAAAAAAATGAAAGAAATAGGCTTTTATATAATTTATAATAATATTAGGTGTTTTGCTGCGTTACCAGATTTTTGGAGTCACATTGTTTTTATAATAAAGTTTGATTGACAGATCATTCCATTTAGTGACAGGAACATAGCAAATACATAACAAACAATAAGTAAAAAAAGTTAAAAGAAAAGAGAAACCGAGAAAAAAACTACACCTGAAATGTACTGCCGTTTAATGCAGTTAAAGCATGTGTTGTTGTTTAAATTGCATTGACAAACTTACCGTACTAATACTTGTGTTGTTTGGGTGTGATTTTAAGAAGGAGAAGTTGCAGCAGCAGAGTTTTCCTCTCCTCTCCACACAGGCCGCCATCCCTCCCTCTGACCCCGGGTCTGTGCAGGGGAAGCCGGGTAAACCCCAGCAGAGGCTCCGCTGCTTCCCCCGCTGCTTCCTCCTCATGTTAGGCGACGATGGAGGCTGCAATGAAACACATGACTTCAGTGGAAATGGCACTGAATGTGTGGGAATGTCACGTATTGTAATGTCCAGCAATCTACATTTCGGGAGTCAACCAGATTTTTTTTTTTAAACGTACATTTTATTCATGCTTTTCTTTGTCTCCAGACTTACGTAACCGCATGATTATATTAATATGATAATGTCATAAGCCCTTGACCTTTGCTCTACTTATTTTTGAATGCATGGAGGTCTGACACGTTTAGCCGCATTGATTGATTGCCAGTCAACATACACTAAACATGTTAAAAGTAACATGTATACAGGCTGTAAATACAGACGTTGGAGGGTATTTTGTTAAAAAAATGACATTTTGAATTAAAAAATGCTCGATAGTTTGTCTTCAATGGCCTCTCTCATATACATTAAACGTCCTTAATTCGACTATTTTTAAAGTCACACCACTGTTAAAGCATGGAAGTGTTATAGCTAATTCCAATAGCAAGCAGAGAGTTGGGACATTTTAGATTTAATTGTCCATTTAATCACACGGTTTCTCAGATGTATAGTGCATATATTAACGTTAAAGCACAGCAGCGGGAACCGTTAGTTTAAAGCCTCTTCTCCTGGGGAAACTTTGTTTTTCCCCTCACACAGAAGCTCTGCTCTGTTCAGTCACACTCACGTGGACACCGTGGCACTTACACTCCGCGTGGTGTTTCACTTAATTATAAGAGTATGCTTTTATTTTGAAATTATACAAATTAATTTCAATAAATGTCGCCCCTTCTTTAGCATCAAACAATCCACTGAGTATTGTCAAAGTCCCTTATACATGAATACACTCCTTTTGGGGTTGCACATGGTTTTACGCACTACATTGTATGACCCGTCCTGCAGCTATTACATCATTAGAAAAAGTACAGAAATAATTTGACAATTTATTAAATTCATTCTGATTTAGCAGCTTGACATTTCCTTGATTTTATAAATATAGGAGTTTCTTTTTCATTTGAAATTGGTGTTGCAAATGTATCCACAGCAGGTCAGCCAGCAGCAGCTTTGGCTGAAAAACAAAACGTGTGCAGATTTCACCCTGGACTGCGAGGAAGTTTGAGAAGTTTGTGCAACATATTGTATCATGCAGAGAGCAGATTTCCATGGCTCTTCTGCTCCATGATAACCACAAATACACAAAAGCACTGAAAGAAAACACAGCCATTAAAGCCTTCAGTAGGCACACATTTGTAAACAAATGCTCCTCTTGTTTATTAATATTTTACGTCAAAAATATTATGAGCCAGAGAGTGACCTTGTGTGAAAGGCTGCGACGCACAGATCCTTCACAGTTGAGAGATTAAACATAAAAACGTCCTGACAGCATTTATCGGTCTCCGTATGTGATTGTCTCAAAGATCAATGCAAAGTGCTGACCTTAACGCGGCATGTGTCTGTCAGCATTACCCATAACTTCGTTTTCCACTCAGCCACAAATATCATTGAGCTCTTTAGAAAACCCTTTTATTTTATTGTATTTCGAGCAAATTGCGTTAAGGCGTGTTTCGTTCTTTTTCCCTCCTTTTGTTATTCTATAGGAGTTACAGTCTACTGCTTTCCAATCCGCACTGGAATTTAACCCTGAAACGCCAGCAGCAGTATAATGGCTGTGCTCCCTGTTGGCCCCTGCAGGCTCCGTGCTGGGGCCAGACAGCCTGCCAGCCCCGGCTCCCCTTATCAACCCCGGGGCTTTGGCCTGGACCATACACCGCAGAGTCCCATTAATCAGGGAAACATCACGTCAAACATGGCAGACTGAGCGAGGAGCTCAAAGCTT